CGAAGGAGTCTAAGGGGCGGTAAATAGTTTTGTTAATTGAAATAAAATTCAATTTGACGTTTTTATGGCATGTGGAGATAGTTCGGCTAAATACGTGAGAAGCTGCAGATGCGAATTGCAAATCTGGAGTGTGAAAGTTGTTAGAAAGATGCAACCAGTCGGTTAGCTTCCTTACGATTCACTTTACGATGTGCGATTGAAAAACACCCCGCGGGAAATCTGAAAATCATATTCATTTATTTTCAATCGTTTTTGCTTATTTATTCATCGTTACAGCTTAATCCTTATGTCCTCGTATCTCTTTCGGCCAATGTAGTCTGAAAATTGGCCAATCCGAACATTCTAAAAATTTTTAATCCATTTTTATAGCTTACTTTAAATTTTCTACTGCATTTATTTCTCTATTTTTGGGTCAAGCGGAGGGAGGTCTCAAGACAAGTGGCAAGTGGCCATAACATTTATATGCTCGTACATATTTAATCCCCATATGCAAATTTGGCTATGCGGGCACAAATTTTCCATACCATAAACTTTGCTAATACCCACATGTGGATTTCCCACTGCTCACATTCGAGATTTTGCAATCAAAAAAAAGAAAAAAAATGGTAGAGGCGGTCGTCAATCGGCGATGCTGTGACCTTTGCCAGTGCTTGTCAAACTATTCGCTACATGATGGATTGGAGTTACCGCAAATGAATGGCACATTAATTTGCATTTTAAATGTGCCAAAAATATTTCTCGCCATTTTCAGCATGTCATTGACTAATGAGCAGGCAGCCGAAAATATTGTAAATTACGAACGGCAAAAAAGAAAACGTTTTTGCAACTGCAGGAAACATAAATAACAAGTCCCAGCGCCGAAATAGATTGCTGCGGTGCATTTGCTATAGGCGCAGAGGCAGCAACTTGGATTTGAAAAATATGAAAAACATTTTGCAAATGTCACACTCGCATGGCTATGAAAACCGATCTGCGAGCCAAATTTCAGGCGCACCCCATGGGAAGCACCAATTTGTTTTAAGTATTGCTGGTTTTTGTTAGGGTATTCCAAAATATCACATATGATAAAAGCTTATAAAATGTAGCTGAGGGTATATTTTTCTCGACTTGTTGCCATTTTTTAGTGACAGCTTTGTGCGTGCCAATTTATGCACATTAGTTTTTGAGTTAAAAATTCAAATCGGCTTTCGGCACATCATTTTAAGTGTCTTCGGTTCGTAATGCCAGCGAAATATTTGCGCAAACACTTTGCAATCGTGTGCCTCGAGTGATTTTATTTATTTTGTTTCGTTTTATTGCTCTTGCTGTCGGTAGTCTCAAAAGATTCGCTTTTCCCATTCTTTTGCCTACACAATTGTTTATATGGAAATGGTAAAAGGATTGGTTTTATTTTTAGCACCCATATGGTTATAATATGGATGTTAGTTTATCCGTGTGTTTTATTAACGGTTTATACTTTAACTTACTTTGATCTTTTTCTTAAATAAAAGGAAATTTATTTTAAAGATCCATCTTTCCTGTCCGAAAATTTCCTTTTAAATAAGTATATTAAGAAATTAATCTTGAATATTTTCGATCAATCAAGCTTCCGTTTCCGTTTGCTTAAACGGTATTCACACTACCAGCCGCAATAATCTGCAACACGATTGCCACATCTGGCCAAGGCAATTCGCAATGAAGTCAACAAAGCCAACACGGCTGAGATATTTTATAAATTGCATACGGGATCGGGCTTAATGTGGCCACTTTAATAGACGCCGCCACTTATCGGGCGCCGTTGATCCAAACACCAAGAGCAAGACACTCGGAAACCATTTATTATAACAAACAAAATGCTATAATTAATTTTTTCTATTATTTTCTCAAATACACCCCGTCATTACCAAGAAGGAGGCGGTGGTGTAAGTCGGGGGGCCATTGGCCAGAACGTGGCCAGTGAGGAGTCAAACACAATTTCCTGGCCAACTTAATACTCGATTAATTTACGACGGGCACGAAAACAATTGAGTTGGCCATTTCGGCGGAGAGGAGGCTGGGATTGCGACTATTATGACGTGCCGGGCCGAGTTCGATCAAAGAAAGCATAAATAATGTCCCGACAGCCGGTCGGTCGAGGAGTAGAAACTGGTTCACTGGATTTTGTTGGTGGCCCGTACCGAAATTTATGCAAACGGGTTAATTAACTAAGTCTGCAAAAAAAAAAAGACTATAACGAAATTCGGAACGACTTTTAAGAGGCAGACTTTTAGCCGGGTGGTCCTCCCCCCAAGTCCCACACTCCAATTACTCTCTCCTTCGCTTTAAATGTGGGTCAACAGTGGGCGGCCAACAAGGCACAAACAAAACCCAACTAACTGCATTTGTATCCATCATTTTAGACATTTTAAATGTCAATCTACACATATATATGAACGAGTATGTGTACAAGACTTTGGCAAGTCAGTTGGTCAGTGAGTCAATCACTCAATTGAATGCAACTCATTCACTCATTCATTCGCTCATTGATTCATTTATTTATGCAGTCAGTCAGCCAGCGTGTTGCCAACAGATTTTTATCGCAGTTGCCTACAGACGCTTAATTGCTGCTTGATTACTTGTGGAAATATCGAAATTCAATCTTTATTTCGTTCGTTTATTGATATGCTCTTAGGAGAAACTGAGATATTAGGCAGTATTTGTTTATAGACATTTGGTAATTTTCTTTAATTTAATGAAAACATTCCTTTTTATGCTGTAATTTATATAAATTATAGCTTGAAATTAAAAACTAAATATAGTGTGTATAATATTCCCCGATATAAACATAATTTTTCAATTAATTTTTTACCTTCTTGTATTGATTTGAGATTTATGATAATTGATTGCCATCCATCGCTGCTTTTTATTGCTATACATGCACTGCGCATACGCAACGTTGTCCGCGTGTGCAGTGAGCGTACCCATAAATCATTTAATCAATATTTTGTCGTGTCGAGAATAAAATAAGGTATGTTTGCCCACAAAACACGTGCTCCAAATTGAGGCTCAACAAGTGAGCTTCGAGCTTTTAGATTTTTCTACAATTCGTCTAGTCTTTTATTTTCGGTATTGGTCAAATGCAAGAGACTTTGCAATTAAACTGTCAATTCATTGGTATTTTCAGAATTATTAGTATTTGATTGTTAATTTATTGCATTGCATTTGATTTGTGAGCGCGTTGAATGACCAGACAGCTTGGTCATAGGTAGTCGCATTGTGTATACGCCATGTTGTGCAGTGAAAATGACAAGCCCCAAGGCCACTATCGAAGTGAGACTAATGACTGTGGCTTGATTGGATGTTTAGAAGATTAGATATGTATGAAAACCCAAAGAGGAATAGGGATAAATCTCAATCATTTGCTAATTTTTGTATGCCATTCCCCCGGTAGACAAGTCAAATGGCAATCTATCAATCCAAAAACTAAGACGCCCATGCAAATGTGAAGTGGAACCCTCAAATTTTACGCACATTCAAGCCGTAGACCGTTAAACGAACGGAAGTACTCTTAAGACGGCCCACACTCAAGATCTCTGACCACCGGACCAGCCGTCTAGTCGATCGGCAGCCAGAAAAACGAAGTATAGCCAAGGGGGGAAAATAAAAACAGAGAAAAACCGAGAAACAGAAAACAAACAAAACGTGCTCATTAATAAAAAATCAAAGAAAACAAAATTGTCAATAAAACCAAAGACCCGAAAGAGAGAGAGACTAACAAACCACCATAAGCAACAGACTCAAGACCCACGCAATAAATCTACAGTGGGTGTGCAAGTGACTCTCAAACTGTTGAGGCATGACAAACGCATTTTCAACTACAGTACCAAAATGTATTGAGAAGCAAGCGAAGAGTCGTGATTCCCATTGTAAACTTTAATGACATCATTTGCCCAGGCGAAACATCTGAATGGCGTCAGTTGATTGAACTTTTTATTGGTGGCTCCGTCTGAAGGAGTCGGCTCGTAGGCCTTTCTCTCGCCACTCATTTCATTCATGAAAATGCAAATCCCCCGAACGAACACTGGCTGGCAAGCACTTGACAGCTGCACTATAGTCAGTCTTCAGTCTTCAAGTCTCAGCCATATGCCAAGTGCCTTAAGGCGCAGCTTCCTTCTCTCCATCCCCCCAATCCAAAAATATCTTCAGAGACTACGGAGCAGCTTTGGAGTGGATCTACTATCACCTATCCTATCGTGTCGCGTGCTAAGCTTGTTCATATTTCCATACTTACTTTCAAGATACCCTAAGACTTTGGTGATAGTCTATTTTTGCAGTCTACCTAAAAGGAATTTAAGTTTGTGGTATTATTTTGAATTTTTTAGCACCATAGAGTAGTTAGTTTTCGTCTTGACATTTTCATCAGATCTCTCCGAATTTTGCATGCACCTTTTCGCCTATATTTTAGATTTATTTTTTTATAGATCGTGCAATCAATTTGAAAAGTGTTTTTGCGTTGGTTTTACCGGATTTATGAATGAATTTATTTTCGTATATAGTATACCTCTTGCCTGTCCACATACTCATGTGCTTGGCAGACTTGTCTGGCTTGTTCCGACGTCGTCGTCGTCTCCCACAGTTTTTTTTCGGGGTCCAACGTCCGCTGGTCCGTCGTCGCATTTGTCGTTTGTCGCCCGAATAGGAAATCTCAATGCATATGTGGGCGGACTTTGGGGCTCTGCCTACGCGCAACCCACCAACTGGCTAGCGGGTCTAGTGGATCTAGTGGGTCTGCGCGCACCACTTGGTTGGTGGCTGTTTAGGTGCAGTTAGTTGGCTGCCACTGACAATGACGTAGTTGTGGCCCAGTAACCCAAGACGGGGAAAGCGCACGGAAATCATTTTTTATTATCGATTATTTCTTTATATATTTTAAGAAAATCGGTTTTACTATCTATCCTAGAAGTTTAAAGGAATAAACCATCCAAATAAATATACACTTGACGCCTCGACTAACGACTTATACATCCTATCTTTCCTTCCAGAATGCCACTGCAGCAGTGTGGGATCCCTATCTTCAGATTGCGACAAGCGAAGTGGACAATGCGCGTGCCTGGCCAACGTCACTGGAAGAAGATGCGACAAGTGCCGGGCGGGTCACTGGAACCTTACTGCCGGCGAGGGTTGTCGGGATTGTCGCTGCGATCCGCACGGATCACGAGGTCACGAGTGTAACCCGTGGACCGGTCAGTGCGACTGTAAGATCGGAGTTGGGGGTCAGCATTGCAATGAGTGCACGGAGGGATTCTTTGGCTTCAGCATCGAGGGATGTCAGCGTTGCTCGGCCTGCAGATCAGAGGGACAAGTTTGCGATCCGCACAATGGTCGCTGCATCTGCCCCAAGTTCACCCGTGGTCTAGGATGTGGACAATGTGTTCCGGGCACTTGGGGCTGGCAAGCTCGTCTAGGTTGCAGGGAATGCGAGTGCGATCACATTGGTTCCATTGGTCAGCAGTGTGCCACCGTCGATGGACAGTGCCAGTGTCGTGAGGGATATGCGGGCAGGAATTGCGACTCTTGTGCCGTCGGATATTTCGGATATCCTGAGTGCCGGCGATGTGGTTGCGATCCTGAGGGTTCCTTTACTCAGTCGGATGGCTCAATTGCCTGCGATTCGAATGGCCAGTGCCCTTGCAAATCTCTTGTCGTCGGCCTCAAGTGCGACACCTGCATGCAAAGTACCTTTGGTTTGTCTGCCCTTAATCCCGAGGGTTGTACCCGCTGTTTCTGCTTTGGTCGATCCAGTGAATGCGAGCAAAGCGATCTGTCATGGGGTCACATCCGGATGCCAGAGTCCAGGAATCTAAGCATCCAGCAGATAAGACCTCACAATGTGCCCAGCACGGACTACGAGTATATTGTGGTTGTCCAGATGGAGGGCAGCAGTTTTCATCGTGAAGACGCTGAGATTCAGCGAATGAATGATCTGAGCTTGGTACCCAAATCTACGGGAAATGTCTCTATCGGAGCATATGGACAATTTTATCATCCACTCTACTTCCAACTGCCTCCGCAGTTCTATGGAGATCGGACAAGCAGCTATGGGGGCTTTCTGTATTTCACCCTGATCACCGAAGGCGCCCATAAACCCTTAGAACGAAATGTTTTAGGTCAGCACCCGCTGGTACAATTACATGCCCATTCAAAGTTACTTCTGGACTTTTACGAGTACGAAGAGTTCGAGTACTCCTTGAATGTAACTCATCGAGTACCGCTGCATGAGTCCTTCTGGAAGTATCATCACACTAGCCAAGCCGTGGATCGTAATACTCTGATGGCCGCCCTTCAAAATATTCGACACATCTTCATCAGAGCCTTTGCTTTCGCTGATTTCCAAGAAGTTGTGTAAGTATTAAAATCAAGTTTATATAAGCCAAAAAATCGCTTTAATACTAAAAACTTTTTTTCCCATTTTAGCCTTCAGAATGTACATATGGATGCGGCCATTTACATTAAAGGTTCTACCAATCTCATAGCCAAAGGAGTTGAGCGTTGTAGATGTCCCAAGCGGTTTGATGGACTTTCATGCCAGGATCCGGGCAGATCCTTCTACCGCTGGCGCAACACCACAGTCGTGGAAAGTGTATTTATTGAGGATTTAATAGGAAGAGCAGCTCCCTGTCATTGTAATGGACGCAGCAGCGATTGTGACAGGGAAACAGGAGTCTGTCAGGTAACTAAAACTTATTAGCTAGTTTGATTGAAAGTTCAAAAATAAATTTATTTCTCTGCAGAACTGTCGAGGTAACAGTGGAGGAGATCATTGTCATCAATGTGCTGAGGGTTTCTACGGCGATCCCAACTCGCAGTACGGTTGCCAAGCTTGTCCGTGTCCGGAGACCAACAGAAACTTTGCCCGAGGCTGCAATGTCTGGGATGGAGAAGTCAGTTGTGTTTGCAAGCCGGGTTATACAGGACGATTATGTGAGCAATGCCAACCGGGATATTTCGGTAATCCCATGAAGTATGCCAACACAACTTGCCAACCATGTCATTGCCATCCTGATGGCATCCGAACCGAAGGCTGCGATATAGAGACGGGAAGATGCTACTGTCGAGAGGGAGTCACCGGTCTCAAGTGCGACAAGTGTCAGGTGGAACGACACCATCTAGTGGATAATGGATGCAGAAGTAAGTTGTCCTCCATTGATTTTTAATTTATGATTATTTTTATTTCTAATCCCTGCATAAGTTTGCGACAACTGCACCCTTCTGCTCCTGGACTATGTGGAATTGGTGGGTCACAAGCTGCGTCGCGGAATGCACAACATGGATTTGACGGGAATTCCGGCACCATATCGCAAATTATCTGAATATGAGAGCGCCTATGATGAGTGGAATGGAAGACATTGGGATTTTAGCCAGACAAAACAACGACTTCAGGATTACGACTCCGCGGACATCCTTAAGCTCGAAGCCCATGCCGAAAATCATAAGTTTCAGACTCGCAAAGCCGTGACTACCATAGGAAAACGAGAGTTCGCCATCAAATCGATGCGGGAAGATGCTGTGACCCAACAGCACGGTATGGGATTGCTCCGCGCGGAGATCCTTCAAACGCTTTCTGATTTGCGGGGTTATGGAAAGAGTGCCCATCATCTAAGCTTACCAACGGCTCTGAAGCAGGCCCGTTTCTATCTTCAGGCTATCCGTGAGCACGATAAAATGGTGCAGGGAATTCGCAGCACCAACGACTGCGCTTGGAAGCACTTTTATGCCATGGGTAATGCCTCGGATTCTGCCTTCGACGAGAGTGGCCGCTTGGAGATGCTCTGGCGAGATCTAAATCAGACAAATCATCGGGTTGTGGACTTACGACTGCAAGTCGATCGAATCCAGGAGGTGGAAAGTGAAGCGGATGATGTCCTAGAGCATGTCCGCAATTTGAGTGTCTATGTTGGGGAATCTCACCAGGAGCTGAATGACCTTAACCAGCGGATTTCCGATCACCTCGATCCGGGTTATCTTGAGCAGGGTGAGGGATTGGTGAGGAAAACACTCCAGCGACAAATCTTGCTCAATGGACATATTAACCAGCTGGATGGCTTAAGGGTATTACTTAATACCACATTGGGAGTGAAATCGGAGCGACAGCGGGAGGTTCGCAAGCACTGGCTGCCCAAGGCGGAGAAACACGCCAATCACCTGCTGGCACGATCCAATGAATATGCCCGCCAATTCCAGCCCACACGGAATGGAGCCCGTATAGCCATGCTGGCCAGTTCTGCCCACAGTAATATAACAAAGGCCATCAATGATGCTCGACAAGCTTCGATTCTGGCTAAGGAGCGGGTGTATGAGGCCCAAAGAACTCTCTATCCCAGCGATGGTAGCTCCATGATCAATCGAGCCAAGCACTCGCTGCACAGGTCAAGACAACTCCAGCAAGAAGCCCTCAAGCAGATGCATAAGTCCAATGTGCTGAAGGACAAACTACATCAGCAGGAGCAACAGGTGGAAGGCATTAAGGCCACCATATATGATTCTGGTCTGCGAACGAACAATATATCCGGACAACTGCAGGGTCTGTCAGAGGGAACAGCCCGTCGACAGGCGAAGGAAGGCTTGGAATTGGCCGACAGAACAGGGGAACAAATGCGAGCCGAACTGCGACTTGCCAAGGAGATGCAGGAGTCCATCCAGAACATGCGAAATTCATTCTCCAATTTGGAACCCGATTGGGAAATCAAACTTGGCATGGCTCAAGAGAATATATCACTAACCCAGACCAACCTTCGACTGGCTAACGTCTCGTTGAGCTACCTGGAGCAGCAGGCCGAGAAGGAGCGGCAGGTGTTCGAGGTCTGGAACAACAGCATGGCTCAGCAACTGCAGCAGCTCAGAGATCAGATTGCCAAGGCCAGGCATGCGGCAGAAGCGGTAATATATATATTCGCCTATTATATTTTACAGTTCATTAAAAATCCTCTTACAGATCGATGTCTCCTTGGAATCCCTGGGTCCTAAATGCAGTCGTTCCTACCTGCCCACCTCATACGGATTGAGCACCTCAAACAAGCTCCGTATGAGCTTTGCCTTATCCAATCACCTTGAGAGTTCTCCGCTGATCCACTTGGCGAGCAGCGAAGGTCGCCATATTACCCTTGAGCTTTACAAGCGTCGGGTGCGCCTGGTGTGGAATCTTGGTGGAACCACCGCCACCGTCACGCATCCCATGGTGGTGGAGACACGTGACCCCAAGTACGACGATGCCTGGTATCATGTCGAGGCCAATAGGACACTTAATCTAGGAAGTCTACTGGTGCGCCGCATGAACAACTATGGAGAGCTGACCCCACCCAATCCGCTAACCATGACAGGATCCACGGACACGGAACACACGCGTTTCTATCAGTCCCGAAACGATCGAATATCACTGGGTGGTTTTGCATCAAAGGATTTGCACTTTACACCGGGACTCAATGTGGTGGTGCACCAAGTTGAGGTAGACAATAAACCTTTGGGTCTGTGGAACTTCGTGAAGAGCGAGGGCAGCTGCGGTGGATCCATGGTGGGAGCTAAGGAGTCCTCTGCTTCATCCACTGCCCGTCATTTTAATGGATTGGGCTATGCCCAGCTGATGAAGACCCGCCCGAGACCCACTCGCAAGAATCTTTTCTCGGTGCAGATGACTTTCCGTACGCTGGACGAGAATGCCTTACTCTTCTTAGCGGTTGATGACAAGAACGTAAGTTAATCCCATTAATCCATTGATTTGTGGAGATAAAAAGAACTTATATATTTTAGAACCGCTCGGTGTCGGTAACTTTGAGCCGTGGTCGGATCATGTTCCGCATCGACTATGGCGATGAGTCTAAGCTGGAGATCAACACCACCAAAAAGTACAATGTTGGTCAGTGGATCAAGATCGAGGCTGCGCGAGAGTTCTCTGCCAAGCGCAGTACTGAAAATGGAATGCTCCGAGTGAACAACGATCGTCCAATTTCCGGAGCACCCACATTACCCGTAAACATTCACTTACTGCCAGATCTCTCCAAGGCTGTCTACTATTTGGGTGGTGTTCCACCAGGTAGTGATTTGAACCTAATTCAACATGAAAGGAATATAACTTAAAAACCTATCTTTTAACAGGTTTTACATCGGGTACCACCAAGGCCCCTGGAGCTGATAATCCCTTCTTGGGCTGCATGAAGGACGTTCAGGTGAATGGCGAGACCTATGATCCTCTGGAGAGTTCCAGCTACTATGGAGTCGAGCCTTCCTGCAAGGACATGATTACCAAGTAGAGCTAACTCATCTTATACTAGAAGCATTTTCTATAAATTAAATCTTTTTTCAGGGCTGGTTTCTCGGGCAATGGCTACCTAGAGCTGCCATCCCAGTCGCTTCGAAAGCGGTCCAACACTGCTTTGGTGTTCCGCACCCTACAGCCGGACTGCTTGCTACTCCTGGCCGCCTATCCACCTGAGGTCCAGGCCGATTACGATGCCAAGGACATTAAGGGCAACTTCTCCATCAGCTTGGTAGATGGACAACTCCATGTGTGGGTCAATTCTGGTCGCAGCTTCATCAAGATGTCCTCGAACTCCAGTCAGATTAACGATGGCGAGTTCCATGTAGTAAATTTGATAAAAACAGGTCGCAAACTGGAGCTCATGGTGGATGATGAGCTGCAGGAGACTCGTAACTTGAACGGCAATCCCACAGTGGTCAGCCTTCCGCGGGACACAGGTGGGCTGTATATCGGAGGAGCTCCGCCGCACGAGAGCTATACACCCTTGGCACCAACCTTTGTCAACCTAGAAGGAGCCATTCGAGATGTGGTGTTTAACAATAGAACCATGAACTTTAACGATGCCCTGACCTTCTCCAATGTTCAGATAGGACGCAATGGTCCATTGATGGGAAGCCTCAAAGGAGGACTGTACGATGTTCTGCTGAAAACTGAACCGATGATCGGAAAGAGTTTTACAGCCTCGCCTGAGGGCTGCAAGCGGGTAAGTGACTAAAATTTCCTTATTTCTTGGATTGGTTTGGATGGGTATTAAGATTTTAATGGGTACTGTCAATCTACTGCATGTAAATATGTGGCTACCTAACTCTGTTAAACTCAAACGTTTCTCTTTGTTCTTATAGGATTTTAGTTGCTAAGCAATTATGTCAAAAGCGGCTACGCTAAAAGCTTCAAGCGCTGCGCTTCAAGAAAGCTCATTTGTATACTAATTTCGCCTAAAACAAACAGAAAAAAAATCAAAAGCTAACCAAACAAGCTATTCTATGTGGTCTACATGTGGATTAATATAACCAACCATCATCAAAGATATAACCTCAGTTCTTGCATTAAAGGCATTGGGAAAGTGGGCCCATGAGAGCATGATAAAAAGCAGCGATTTGAGGTATTCAAATCCTGTTGAGAAAACTCTTATGGGCAGACTGATTTAGCTTTAAGCTAGCGCATCCTGGTCCACAGATAACTAAAACCTAAAAACAGCCATATTCTTAGTTAATAATTATCTTTTTAAACACAATTTTCAATTTTGTATATATTTCATATGACGTTTTTGCTATTTGATAAGCCTCAAAGCTCAATTTAGTGCGTAAGATTCACCATTCTCATATCATACATACACATCACTCATCAACGCTTTGTGTACGTTTTTGCTTTCATGACTGTATCATACGATTAACATTTGCTTACTGCAACATGAACATTTATTTGTTATCACATTTACCTAAATAAACATTTTTATAACAAAAAAGAAACGAAATCATGGCAAATTTTTTATTTTTTAACTCACAATCGCTGAGATCGCTACGCAAAAGCTCAGAAACTAACACAAAGTCGTCGGGGTGAGTTGAGTTCCAATAGGTGGCGCTATAGTCCTGGTCATAATCGGGTTGCTCTCTTGCAGATCGGCAGTTACTCCTATGAGCCGAATGCCTTCAAGTTCGGAGACGATATCTATAGCTATTCTCAGCTGAAACTCCCAGAGCGACACTTCTGGCAGCGCAACTTCCACCTGAGCTTCGACTTCCGTTCTTTTTACCCCAATGGAATGATCTACTTGTCTCCAGGAAGCAAGGAGAAACCCAAGCACTATGTGGCCCTCATTCTCAAGGATGGCCAACTGGTTCTGGTGGTGCGAGGTCGTCGGCGCGAGGAGCTTCAGTTGACCGCCAAATTGAACGATGGTGAATGGCATAGGGTGACGATAAGCTGCCACGATCGCAAGGTTACCATGTCCGTGGAAATTGGGCGTACTGACCAGAAAACTTCTGCCCAAATGAAGCTGCCCAAGAAGATCGGTGCCTCGCAATTATTGCTGGTTGGCGGTCTGCCCCAGTCTCCGGTTAAGATCTCTTCGGATTTGTATGTCCGCCTGGAGCCATTCAAGGGCTGTCTTCGCAGGGTCAGCATCAACAACAACACCCAGGATCTGGCCCGTCCTGGCAAGCACTCTAATGTGGGACAATGCTTCCCTACGGTGGAAAGAGGCAGCTACTTTCCTGGTGATGCCTATGCCATTTACAGTGAGTTATCACTAACATAGTTTTGAACTCGAAGTAATTTTTTTTCATCTTTAACAGAGAAAAACTTTAACGTTGGGCAAGTATCTGGATCTGGAAACCGAATTCAGAACTTCGGAACTTTCGGGAATTCTACTGAGTGTCTCAGATCCAAATGGATTCCCTGCCCTTTCGCTGGAGCTACATAATGGGAATGTAAGTTGAAGTGTCTTTATATAATGTCGCAATATTTAATATTCAAATCTTTCCATTGGTAGATAATATTCTCCTGTGATCTTGGGAATGGAGTCCCTCTGAGAGTGGAATCCGCACTGCCCACCAAATATGCCTTATGCGACAACAAATGGCACAATATCTCAGCTCTTTATGATGGTGAGCAGATTGTCTTGCGAATAGATCAGCTGCCAGCGGTGATCAGTGTGGGAAACCAGCAAAACGCAGGGAAGGTGCAAACCCGCTCTCCACTCTATATAGGCGGGTTGCCAGGTAAGTCTTTAGATCTTTGAAATCAGAGATTCCATTAAACCTTTGCATTCCACAGAGACTGCACCAAGTGGATCACTGATATCGCGGGAGAACTTCAAGGGCTGCATCCGGCACGTGTCCATTCGGAACGAGAGACGCGACTGGATCGATATGGAGGATCTGAGGAACGTGCTACTCAGCGAGTGTCTCGTGTCCAGCGATGATAGCTGAAGGTCGTGTATCCGAATTCCGGACCGCTTTCCGGGCGCTTCTGGTTCCTGTTGACGCCACACCAAAACTTTTTCCAAATGTATTGTGATCAATAACGAGTTTAGAGCCAGTTATTTATAGCCCTTCACTGCCATATAAGTTAGATTACTCTTAGGATTAACTTCGATTTATATTGTATAATTAACTACCAATTTTATTGCCAGTGACTGCATTTTGTACTTCGCAATCTGATTCATAATTTATTTCGACTATTTATAAAGTTTTTATTATTTATTTTATGTTTTAAAAGAGGCTTTAAGTTTGTATTTCATTTGGCGTACGACTTATTAAAAATGTGTGTTTATCGAATCTCCTCCTGTGTGTACAGTAAGCAACAAAATTTAATTTAGTAGCCATAACATTCATAACTTTCATTTGTAAATATAAATGCCATTTAGTTTGTATTTATCTTAGCACATATCTACAATGTAATATTCCCATCTTAATAAATTAAATAAATACAACTTTATTTTAACGAAACCTTGAGAGTTTATTGGTCGATGTTAGGAAATGATATGCCATAATTTGGCATATCGTATTTCTAACTTTTGAAAGCTCTTTGCTATCTAGATTTTGGCTCACCACTTTTTCTGGGAGTTAACTTTCACCAGCTCGGATCATAAGTGTCTTGACTCTCCAAACATCCTTTACTTACATATTTTTTGACACACACGATGAGTGTTAGCAAATTTGGGAGGAGCAGCCGCCGGACTCGGAGATCCCTTTCCTCTACCACAGATTCCTTAGGCCCCTACATCTACTGCGTTAACTTCCATGACAACGGATTGAGTGCGGTACGAGATGAGTTTATAAAGCGGGTGATTAGCGGCACTCGTCGTGCGATATTCGTCATTGATTTGGAGAAAGAAATTACTGAAGCCAACTTTCAGCTACATCGAAAATCAAAGGCCAGAAAAACTGGTAAGATTAAGTTTAAGCCAATCACTAGTAAAAGATAATAAATGCCTTTTAGAGGGATCTCTGCTTTTAAAGCCCGTTGATCCCGTCAATGTTGTCCTGAAATGCATTCAGGACTTGTGTCGATGAGTTTGATAGAGTAACCAAGAAGATCGAATCCGATGCGAATTTTGATCTACACGCCTATTGGCAACGTTACATCCCAGCTCAGCTCAAGAACCTAACGTCTGGGGCGGCCAAAAAGAAGGGTAATCCAGACACGAAGCGCGCTGAAAACACAGCCAGGCCGAAAACGGGCAAGTCTAGCGATAAGGTGCGTCTGGAGAAGATCAAGTGCGTTAATATCACGGCCAAGGAGCACAACAAAGTTGGCAAGGGAGTGCCGATGTCCAAGCGTGAGGTAAGCTTTACAGAGTCTTAAGACTGATGTTACCTAACCATTCTGCCCTCCAGTACATCAGAGATAATCCATTGTTCACGAAAATACTGATCCTAATCGTGGGCCAAATGGATAATGATTTCTACAAGATGCTGCTGGCCTACGAACAACCGCTGCGGGCGATCATCCACTTTATGCCCGAGGAGAGTGCCTATGATATTCTAGTGCCTCGCCCTAGGCGAGAACAGAAACTCCAGGAGACATTGGCCGTTATCCAGAGAGACATCCACTCGCTGCGGAAGAGGATACCATCGAAGAAGGTGGGCATATTCCAGCAACAGCTGCCCCAGATGTCGTCCTGCTTGGCGGCCAAGTTCACGGACGACGTCTTCGACCAGCTGAGCTGGTATATGTATGATGTGGAAACTCTTCGGGAATGGTACCGTACTTACTATGAGGAGCCGTACGTAGAGACCAATGTAAGGATGGATCCCACGCTGTCCTTGCTGGATGCATTCCATGTCGTAGAGTCACTGAGCATTCAAGGGCATTATCTTCAGGCCCAAATGCCGGCCTGCCTGGACGATGATACCACTGTCTATCTATACGTAGAGTCGCTGATGAGCACGTTCGGGAATCCCAGGGAACTGATGAGCGAAACGGAAGTCCTTCTCCTGGCAAATCCTACGCCATCGGTTCAAACTCGAATACTGGACAAGGTGAAGGTTTATGCAAATTCGTTTAAGAGCATAGTCAAGCTGAACAAAAATGATCGCATCTTCGTGGAGCAGGAGAATAGGTTGCTGTCCAACCTTTTGTCCTATATGAATCAAGGTATGATGCGTAATGTATACCACGGCTGTTTGGAGTACAATATATTGAGGCGCTATTTCACTTCCGGTTATATCAACAACGCACTAAAATGTAACCCGTTCAATGGTGAAGTGGAACCGATCTTTTTGCCCAAGTTTGCCGAACTTTACCTTACGGATGACTCAGTGATGCAACGCATTATCCAGCTGGTTAAGGATTATGATGACTTCACCTTAGAGGAGATACAGCCAGATGTCCATCTCTACACTTTCAATCGGGCTTTAAACGAGGTCTTCGAACAGGAAAATCAAACTGTGATACCCACATGTCTTTGCTTCAGGGACTTTACCTTGTTCGAAATGGAGAGTACGTTGGTAATTAATTAGGATTACATTTTTGGAATAATATTTTATATTTGCAGGGTTTCTTGAGGACTTGGTCACCCCGCAGAAGTTCAACCAAATTACTGATAGTCACTTATCACGAGAAACGCAAAGCGCAGACATAATATTGGGTAATGATCCGGTTAATGTCAAGTGCAGTGACGACAACGATCGTGTTGCCATCGATCCCAAAGTCTTTGTTCGACCGAAATCAATCAAGGGTCAACAGGCCAAGAAAAAGGAAAAGCTAGATCAAGACGAAGCTCGGTCTATAAGCCAGAAACCATCTGTAATCGCTCGAGAGAACCAATCAATGGCATCACGACACTTGAGACAATCTAGGAAGTCTTTGATATCCAATTTGCAGCTAAAAGATTCTGGATTTGAGTCAAAACAAGAATCTAACTTGTTTGTGGGACTTGGTCCACACCATCCCATGCTGGAAGGCTATAACCTGGATGACACCCGGCAGACAATAAAGTCCAAGACATCAAAGTACTTCTTCGAAGAGGGAAGAATCGTGCTCTACGAGGAGAAGTGGAATTTCCGCCAGATGAACAAGTGCCTGGCCCTCGAAATTGGAGGCCAGGAGGTTCATTTCCGAAGTGCCGATGATCCTCTGGGAGTCACTGCCGCGGATTCTGGAGTAAGAATCGTTTCGAAAAACGGCATCAGTCTTCGGGCGATCAACAAAGAGATCGAGTGCGCCAAAGTGGTTCTGAACTATCCCAATGGCCTGAGTACCTATTGCCACGACACCCATACGGAACATCTGTGGCAATATCAGGTAAGATTAATGCTATAAAAATTTGGGAAATTGTATATCGATTCCCTCCAATGTACTAGGATAATGAGCTGAATGAGAGCCGGCGCGTCTGCACTCCTTATGGCTGTGTAATTGTCTTCTACCAGAACACTGATACCATTTTAATAATGCGATACAATGGGGAGGTGTATTACCTATTCAGCTTTACGGAAGCCGACAACGAGGAGGAGGAGGAACAGAACTCGGACTTCATCAATGCCTGTTCGACGCAGTCCGGCTACTCCAGCTACAAGCCCATTAAGGAGTCCAAGAGAGGTCGAAGGAGTTGCCAGAATTCGAAGAATTCGGTAGAGATGGTTTCGTTGGCTCGCAGTTCGGGCGGGGGAGATTCCAGTGTACGCCCATCTAATCAAAGTGTTAAGATATCCAAGGCATCGATTTTTTCAAAGAAAAAGAGGCAATCCGCGGCATTATTCGAAAGCATTAAGTTTGAGTTAACCTATCTTAATTTCATTATGGCTCTGTACAAGCTGAGCTATCGACACCTCAAGTTGACCACATCGCTGGGCAGTGTGGTCCACGTGCAGCGCGACGGGAAGATATGGTGTGGCAAACCTTTTCGGAACACCGAGTGGCATGACTACTACGCCAACGAGTCCTATTCGATGCGGGATGATGGTGTCAAGATGATTTGGACGTTGGGGGAGCTGAAGTGCTATCACAGCGACGGAACCGTCATCACTTCCGGAACCATCGAAAGCTGGGATCCCGGAGCGGATGCTGATGAGTTTGACATTCAAATCAGTTCGAGCAGCTCCCATGCCAATGCAATGGACAACGGCATCATTGGACGAACGGTTGTATTTCAATTCCTCTTTTAAATATCTTAATTAGTTCCCATTTATCTCATTTAAGCTTTAATTATTTAAAATTTTTAATTTTTTTAATTTTTAATTTCTTTTTATATGACAGGATACAATCTTTATCAATGATCCGAATGGCTTGCCGTTTACAGACGTCAGTCTGAGCTCTACAATTGACGGGGAATCAGGTCGCAATAGTCTCTTAGGTAAAAATTTGTCATCCAAGGGTGATATGATGCCGGAGGAGGAGGAGGGAGAGATTATCTTTGAGAAAAGCTATATAACTTACATGCCAAATAGTTATTCCATACACCACAAAATCTATGCTGGCATTCACTTCTCATTCAGTCACCTAACCGATGTGGATCTACACCTGGAGACCTCGATCACCACCTGCGACAACATGCTCGTTCGGGTATTCAAGGATCAAATAAGAACTGATTTGAAATACTCTGAATCCCCCATGGAGATGCCATCTTCCGAAGCCGATCCGGATGACTGGACAAGACGCAGGTCAAGCAAACAACAAGAACAAGTTTCGATAAGTGACGAAACTCTCCCGAGTGGAGAGGAACACAAGATGGAGGACTTACCTATATTAGAAGAAACATGTATCGAGGTCATTTGCAACAATCTAGCTTTACTTTTATTTGAGGATCGGGTTAACATACAAACCCAGCTAAGAAAGTTTGGATGCGACGAAAATGCTAAGTGTGATCTGCAAGTGCGGTGAGTTAAAATATATATCTTGATGGTCAGATTAATAAAGATCTTACTTTTCAGTGATGATATCGAGTTGACAGTTTATTTTGCCCAAAGCTTGTCAACCACTTTTCGAAATTGGGTGAGTGAAGTAACCAGTTTTATTAACTGTTTCTGCCCCAAACGGCGCACTTTGTACTTTTTAGAAACTATAAACTCATCTTGCCAAAGAAAAGGTACGTTAAATGTGAGATGTAATTCGTGAATACTTATTTTTTAATGACTTTCCAGGATTTGAGATGATAAAGTCGGTGCCGCCTTTGGGAAAATATAGCTTTAGTGCCGGCAACTACTGCATCGATGTGAAGGAACTGTCTTCGGTGGATAACAACATGCATAATAAGTACGATTGGTTTGACACGGACATGAAAAAGTTTCCTCGCTTTCGCGATGGCAAAAAAGAGACACCGCAAAGCGAATTTCCTATGGTTTTAAATACAAGGTATTTAAATAATATTGAAAATATATACTAAATTAATATTTAACTACCTTAGAATCTATGTGGAAGTACCTGCCCAACTAGCCAATACAGATCGGATACACAAATTCGTTTCCGAGTTCGATACTACTAAATTTCGAAAACAGCGATATCGTTTTAATGAGTAGGTTCAAAACTAATATTCTTTTAAACATAACTTAGGCACTTATAAAACTGAATTTCAGGGCCATTTTGTATCATTTATATCCACGTTTGCAACAGTTAGTCCATCAGGAAATCAGCAAGCGAAGTTGGAAGAATCGGCATAGCGAACATCGTCGTCGGATGTTCATCGAACAACAACGCATCAGTCTCTACTTGGCCATGCTGAAGCACAAGGTGTATCCCAATTACTTCCAGTTCAAGGATCAGTTTAACTCTCATGTGAGAAACATCGAGTTCTTCCAGTTCATGGCATCCAAGTGCAACGAGAAGGAACATCCCGGGGAAATGTTCGACGATCCCGTCGAAGACTCAAGTAAGCCACCAACAAGTAAAGCAAAATCAAAGAAGAACAAGTGTGTCTGTCCCAAGTATCTGAAATCTTTAGATTAAAAAAGATAAGAAAAGATTTTTAAAGATAAATAAAAATGGTTTTTATAATGTAAAAAATTTATTTTTTAAATATAATATATTTACTTTAAAGAGTTCTTTATTATTTTTAGCAGGCTCAAGCTTCAAGTTTTTCTAAGTTAAAACCACTTCTTTAAGATTTAAATCTGCTTTGTGCTAACTCACCACCAATTTAAACTTGGCGCCCTTGTTTTCATTTCCCCACGTTATCGATTGGAGCTGTCCCCATTGCTATCGTTTGGTATTCATTTGCTTTCCCCCTTCGGTCATACCGAGTGCCTCAGATGTTGTTGTTTTTTCGGCTGCTACGGTCGCGCGTTTGTGCTGCTCTCGAAAATAAATCATATAGGCGAAATATGAATTAAATAGTCTCAAGATAATAAAGCATAATACCCGAAACGAACACGCGATCATCAAAAGCGAACACTAGAAATGGCAGAACCTCTAAGTGCCGAAACCAAGCCGTTGAGCAATGGAAATGCCAATGGAAATGCGGTCGGTATAGCCGAATCCGCCAGTGCTGTGTTTCAGGAGAAGATGAAGTTCCAGCTGGAGGAGCCCAATGAGATCACGGCAGTGCCGAAATATGGTCTCAAACTGAAATTCGACCATGTGTGGCCGGAACGGAGAATCCAAAACGTACGAGCCTCCATCAGGCAAACGTTGCCCATGGTGCCCCTCGTCTGCAGGTGGGATATGACAGAATTAGATTAACTTTATCAACAAATATAGAACAGAGTCAGAGAGTTTCCCTAATTTTGGAAATTAAGTTGCATTAAGTGCACATAAAAGTGCAGTCTAACTTTATGACTCAAACATAGTATTATCTACGAGTCTAGGAGAATTCTCTAAAAAAATTTTGTTTACCTTTTACTCTCATTTAATATATATAATTATTTTTGTAAATAATAGAAATTATTATAATTATATTTTTCACGAGTGTAGACAGAAAGATACAGGCTAATTTCCTTTAAAACAATTTCAGATTTCAGTTAAACAAAAATTATAAAAATCCGAATTTAATCTTTAACAATCTTTAATCATAATAAGTCAGAAGTTGCTATAAAAACAAATACATCTAAGATAAATAAGTATTGCTTTTAAGATTTTTCAGTGTATTTTTGTCTGATGCTGGGTTAGGGACACCTTATCCATAATTAATTAAGGCACAATAATGCGAAATCAATATCTGGGCCTAATAATACCCCAACAGGAGTGACATCGAGCCTGTCCTTCTCCCCCTTACCATATCTTTCTATATCTCTCGTGCGTGCCAAATATAGCGCCAGGTCCTGGCCAACACACACATACACCGAGACACACTCGTGTAGGCCCAACTCATAAATTGAATTCTTTTGTAGACTAAATGACATTACAACCGTTAGAGTGAAGGCTCAGAGGAGACCAACACGCAAGGATTTAATACGGGAAATAGGTTGAAAAAAGCATAGAATTTAAAGGAGTAATTAGTTAATAATAAATATGAAAATTAAAAAGGGATTAACTAACCAAGAGCAGGTTGTTACTTGATTAACTTTCAAAGTAAAAAGGTATATCATAAAAGCTGTTAAAACTTTATCTAAATCTTTGTCAATTAACCCCTACATTTTTTAAGTCCCAGCTATGTACATCGACTTCAGCATAATCACTGCTTTATGCGGTTCCCCATTTTATGTCTCCATAGAAAAAAAAAATGAAAATCCCGCATAGCTTGGCGCCACAATGTTTCCATTCTTCCTTTACCCTGCTACCCATTCCTGTCTGCCCGCATTGGCGCCACGTTGGGCGTCCTGTTTGCGTGTCCTGGCCACATTTCGGTGCCACAACCAAAAGGACTCAAACACACAAATACAATAGTTGGCTTTTCAGCTCGCTTTTCATAGTTAGCCAGCCCGCTGACTGACGTTCCTTTGACTGCTGAGTTGAGCTTAACCCGCATATTCCCTTTATAGTTGTCCAAAATCACAGCATTTACTGACCCAACAAATGACCCATTTTACAAACTGTGTTCAAAGTGCAATGAACTTAAGGGTCATTTAATAACGCCTGAAATTTCTTTATTTTCACATATGTTTAATAAGCCAAAAGGGTGAAGAAAATGTTAATTGAAAGCCTTGTCAAAAGTATGACTAACTCTGATAGTAATTTGTATGACGTGTACTGGAAGGTCAATATTTTTTCCATACCTGACTGATATGGCTAATACATTATTTTTATAAGCTTTCATTATAAAATCTTATCAGAAATGTTGTATTTTTGGTTAGTAAGCTATAACTATTATACATTGAAATAAAAGACTTGGAAAACTTTTAATTGTTTCTTAAAAGAAAATCTTTTAACTATATATACATTCATATTAATATAATCATTTCATACGAAACATAGTCAGTATGATTAATAACCCTTTAAATAGTTCATATATAGATAGTGATTATGACTCATAAAGGTATCATAACACAAAATCTGCAAATCACATTTTAATTTGCAATTTTGATTTTTGTGACGTTGCAAAATATTGGTATTTAACTGTAGAAAGATAAAACACAGGCTACCTAACATAAAAAAGAGTCATAAAATATTTCAGCTTTTACTATGAATGCCTGAATTTCAATTCTTATCATCACAGCATAGAAAATGTTTTGTCATGCGTTTTTGATAGTAACCCAGCTCTTAATCTTCATTTTTTAGGCCATTTCCAAGAAACCTTATCAAAAGAGTGTTTAAGAGTGTTAAAAAAGTTGAACTTTGGCTATGAAATCTTTTCGGCTCCGGCAAACTAACCTATCTCAAGACTTTCATGTTTGCACACATTAAATACTTCTATAAAGTTATTTTTCGAATTCATTTTGGTATTGGTTAAATCAGCTGCATCAACCTTTCAGCTTATATAGCTTGATTTTAATTTGTATTATACAATAAATATGCACCGCGAAGTGCGATTAGAAAAGCCTCATCAAGGTTGACTAAGCGATTTTCCAGCTTGCGAGAGTTCACATATAGGCATGATAAGCCAATATAAGGCCAACCTCTTATATGTTGTGTCTTTATCAGAAGGCCTATACTCGTCGGATTGCATATAGACGGTTATATTTGACATATTTGTATATAACAAAATGTATGTCATTTGGGTATTTCCCCAAGTTAACTCTCCTCTGAAATCTCCAAGTTCCAGTTCAATGTATCTTTGATGACACAGTTCCGGCAATTTTCCTTTTCCTGATTGCCAACTACTTTTCACACAATTTCAATCCATGCCAGCTGAAAAAGCGGCGCCAGTCAGGAAAAACATATAATAAGTCCAGCTCATCCTCCTATCCAATCCTACACCACCACCCATCCCGTCTGTCTGTCACACATCAAATGCTTTTGGCAAGCTCCCAAGTCCTCTGCACAATGTACTCCTTGACTCTCCTTGGGCAAACCAAGAGCTGAGAGGGTTCCACACATCCTTAGAGAATCTCCAGGATGCCTTGGAATATATTTTTCTAGTACATTTGGAAAGAAAAAAGAACACTGTGGATGGCCCTGGACTCCCACGAATCATGTGCATTCGTAAATGGATAATAACACAGTTCGTTTTATACTTTCTATACAACCCACTCATCGCGTACTCAAATCATATGCCCATCCAGACGGAGCACTTTTCCTTATTGTTTTCCCCTGCCAAGGCTGAAAATTTGTGGCAAGATGGAAATCTTATACGAGCAGCTATATAGAAATGAATTCCCTTAGGGAAAAACATTTTGTTTTGAAGCATTTTCCTTCTGCCTTTCAACTTGTCACATTTTGTTTATTTTTGATGCATCTTCCAGAGTCTGTCGGCAATATGTGTTTTTAGATTGGAAATGCATGCACAGGAGATTTCATATTTATAGAGTGGTTCTATTAAGTTCGTCTGATTATTTTGGGGATAGTGTCGTCGTAAAATAAATGAAAAGTAAACAGACTGGAGGTCTTCTACAGATAACAGACAAATTAAAAATAATTAAAAGATATGACTCACCCGGCAGGAAAGAAACTTCTAACTTCTTAACCTCTTGGTCAAAGTTAACGAGTAAATTTAGTTACTGCAATATGGCAGGCTACCACGAACTAACTTTTCTAATTCCCAAGACGACAACAAAGTTATATATTAATTTCAGAGAGCAATTTATCCAGGTAGATGGACTACGTCAGCTAACTTCATTAGTTACTTGGCACAAGCAATTTGATCCTTGTCCTGTCCACTCCCATGCTATCCTTTTTCCTTCTTCTGCCTGCACCTTCTCTTGACCCACGCTGACCCGGAAAAAACTTTTCCCCAACAATTTCACAAATTGTGCGGAACATGAAAGTTTGTTGCACAAGCCCAAAAATAAAAACAAAAAAAAAAGGAAATACATAAAGCATAGAACTCTGGCTGAAAGCTTAATTGGTCGACTGAGTTGGTATTCGATTATGAAACTATTTTCATGTCGGGACGGCGACCCTGCAAGTGCAATTTACTTTTTAATGAGGAAGTAAAATAAGTTTAGAAATCAATATATATTAAATTTGAAGTGTTGATATATGTTCTTAAGTAACATCAGTACAGAATTATCCTTTTAATCTAGTCAGCTTCCAGAAATCAATCGAGCCAGCCCCTGCTGGAATCCATTCCCAGTCTGTAGTTCAAGTATTTTATTAAGTGAAAGTTTCGTGGTTTTGTTGACTTTAAGATAACTCGAGCTCGACGCGGCGTTACTAGACAACTGCAAATTGCCATCATCCTCTCCCAGCAGACCAAGGTGACCAAGGTGACCCACGATGAACCGTCACGAGCACATCGTTTGCCAGGGATGCAGCAAGGTGTCCTTCACGGGCAGGTGCTATCGCTGCATGACCTGCCGAGACTTTGATATCTGTGCTGATTGCTATAGTAACGACTTCACCACCGGTGAGCATCTCTTTGACCATCCAGTGATGTGCGTCTACACGCCAGCAGATGTGGAACTTTACTTTGGTGGCGAGTATATCAGCAGCGATCCGCCACAGAGCTATCGTTGCCCATACTGCAAGAGTTGGGGCTTCAACGAGTCCACCTTCTTGGAGCACGTTTCAGCATTGCATCCAAATGCTAGTACGCTACTTGTATCCACGATGGTCACCCTTTTTGAGCAGCAGCAGGCGGCTCGCCTTTTTCTGGAGGATGAGCAGTTGGCCTGCCTTTCGGCGGCTGCCAATTCACGGAACGAGCAGATGCGACGCACGGTGGGCTCCCTAGATCTCTTTATGGTGCCACTCAATCCGGATGGCAGCTATCAACGGGCGGCAGACAAGAAGGACGAGGTTACTTCGACACCGAAGGGCCGTGAAAATCGAGATATGATGGTCAGGGATCGGCCCTTCCGCGTGACACGACGCAGTGGTGGCAGAGGGGGCCGAACAGTCGCATCAAACAGGATCGTGGCGGCACCGAGACCCCTGCTAGCACCAGGCTCAGAAAACAACTCCACAAATGACACTTCCATGGATATCGATGACGATGGATCTGTCGCCAACCCTCGCATAAATTTGATGCAACGAAGCGTGGCGGTGGCCGAAAGAATACATATTGCGATTACGGAGCTCGGGATCCACTCGAACCCCGACATACAGTCAATATTGGGTTACAGCACCAATCCGTTAGTCACTTCCCCGCAGCAGGTTTCTGCAGCCAATTCAAACAACGCCACCGTCAACGAACCAAGCGAACTCAGCCCATTGCTGAACGAGATGATACGCTTATATAGCGGCGATCCGATGGATGAGCAGACTTTTGGACCTCACTCCGGACGAATGATCCGCTCCAGGCCAACAAATCCAGCTCCACAAGCGGCAAGCAATAATGGCAATAATCGAAGCGTTTATGGACCCACTTCGTCTTTTAACCAGGCACCGCAAAACTCCCGATCCTTGTACATGGGACAGGACCTAGTACAGCGCGATGATCGGCGACGAAATGTCAGGACCCCAAATTTTCAGGGCCCTGCCGGAGCCCTTCAGCGCCTGGGACCCAATGCCCGGGCATTGACCGCTCGGTCCGTGGACTTTAGTGATCTGCCACCGGAGGAAAGTGATCTGGGCCTACACATCAATGATTCCTCAGTGGAAAACCTGCTGCGTTCCCTCAATGAAGAGCCAGCCAAGGTGGTCAAGCAGAGGGAACAGGATCACAAGCGTTTCCTATGTCAGCGCTTCTTGGCACCGAAAAGCTGCAAGCGTCCGCAGGACAACTTCCTTTTTTTACGTGCTGAGTTTGTGTCCCAGCTGCTGTCCTCGATCTTGAGTGAGGAAAATTTCAAGGAGTTCCGCTTTGCAGCTATGGAAAACATTAGTCCAAAACTGAAGACTCTTTCGGGCAGCGATATCGCCGGCGCTGGAGATTCTGAGAAGACCCCATCACCTCATCCGTGATTTGTCAGTAACAGTTGTGTAGCTGTCAAGAGCAGTAGATTTTTTTAAACACCTTACCTTTGTAACGGTTAAATTTCCTGTTTATGTCGAGAGAACTTTTTGGTAACTTTGGCTTACAAAGCCTGTAAATTTTCGTAATTAATTAATTTTGGCGATGGACCCAATGTGTGATCAATTTGTGTTCTTTACGGTCGTTTGTGTTAATGAATGTTTAAAAAATGTTATTTGAACTTTTAATGAGATGCTAATTACAGATTAAGCTAATATAAAGATAAAGTTCACCACAGGATTTCAGAAAAGCTCTTAAAAACTGCTCCCTCTGAAAATTACGAGCTTCTTGTACTTTTCCCTCTTAAAAACATTTGCACTTATATTTTGCTTAATTAAAAAGCCAAGCTAGTCTGGTTCAAAGGACCCAAGAATTAACTCAAATCACAGACATTTTCCCCTTATTGCAATTGCCCAGCGGCTGTTTTTCTAGCTTTTCAATTAGCCTTTTCAGTGGATTGTCAAGCCACTTTTTCCTGACCCCAACAGAAAGGGTTGGGACAAGATGATTGTGAAATAAAAGCCTTAAAATCTGCAAGATGAAAATGCAATTTTTTAATTGAATTTAATTGGATAATTGAAATTGAAGCGCATCTGTCCGTAGCTTATCTTGTTGCGTGACGTCAAACGAAAATCCCTTTGAGAGTCAAATAAGTGCCGCCGTGCCTCATCGTATTTTCTTCTGTGTGGCAATCATGAGGGTTGTTGCAAACAAACCCCAGTGCAAATTTAATTGGTACATTTTTTTTTCCAGACCTCTTTAAGTTCATGAGGTTTACTTTTGTGTTTATTTAAAGGAAAATTAGGAAAATCAAAGCTGTAAGTAAAACAAGCTTGAAAATAATAAATATTCATAAATATTTATTATAAAAAGATGTTTTGCCTTTAATATTTTTCTAGCTTTAATGACGCATTTACGTACGTTAAATATTTATAATTATTATTTAAACTTTTTAATGACTGGCAATCAGGGCGGGTGTGCCTATTTCTTGTGAGCTCTTTACAAAGTTTGTCGAAGGTGTGTCTAATAGCACAAGCAAGTTTTTGTTTAACCTAAATATTTGATAAGAACCAAATTAAAACACCTAAAATGATATTTATTCATTGGTTTTCTTAGTGCCTATGCAGTTGAAAAACCCAGAAATACGAATAATTACGAAACAAATTTCAACACCCGTTGATATCAAAAACACAAAAAAATTTCCAAACTTTGTAAGTCCCAAAACGATTTCCCAGATTTACATTACTCAATAAAATTACCATCCCATTGACTTTCGAAATATTTCCGTATGGCTGACAACATTCAAGCCATGCACTTGACTTTGGCAATCCGAGACCCAGACACCCGCTGACCTTCAAAGAGAGGGCCTAAACCCAGTTCAGGGAAGAGGGCAAATGGAACGTTAAGCTGTCACAGCGAAAAACTTGGGGTTGTTTGGGGGGAAAGCACTCACAATTATGACATCATCGGGGTCAGGGCACGCAATCGGATTGGGTTTGGAAATAAGAATGGAAATAAAAAATGAGGAAAACTGAAAATCTAACTTCTCTCTCTTTATTTTTGTTATAGATATGCGGCCTACTACTGGAAAGTGTCGCGTGAAGGTCGTCGAGTCTATATGGACTACTATTATATGGAGAATGGCAAGCAGATCTATGGAGTACCCATCGGTGGCATTGGAGGTGGCACCATTGGCAGGGGATATGCCGGTGAATTCTGCCGATTCCAGATGCGTCCTGGCATTTACGAGTACAATGTGGTCCAGGCCAATCAGTTCATTGTGACCATCAAGGATTCCAAGGGTTGCACCATCTTTCAGAGCTTGCTCTCCAAGTGCAGGTGAGCATCTTACTTTTCCGATCGCTCGATCTGTCTATCATTCTATTCCCTCTCCCATCGTTGTAAAGAAAGTTTATGGCTTTTCTGATTTTTTACACATTTATTTTCTTCTTCAATTTTCTGTTTGTTATGCGTGATTCGTGTTGTTTGCATGTTCTGAATTTAATTTCAATTTTCTAACTCCCCACTCGCTCTGTAATGTATTACCTTTTGAGGGTATTTGACGTCTGCTAGCTGCTACTTTTATTTCCTATTTTCTTATCTTGACGGACTTTCCCTGCTTTTCTCATGGAACATAGAACATATTGATGTAGGCTGGTCTAGAAATTTACTATTTTGACATCTGGAACAATGAACTTTTGGTTTATAGCGTGTTTTAGTTACTAGGGTCATTCGACACGTTATTTTTAAGTTGATGTGCACCTAGATTGTTGTTCCACAACCATCAAAACTTGGTCAAAACTGACTTTAAGTGGACTTTTAAAATTCATCAAATCCAGTTATTTTTTATTTAATTTAAGTCTTTGTATCTCAGCTTAACTTTTTAATAACTTTTAATTGATGATTTGTTTTTCAACATTTCGACTCTTGACAAGACCTTTGTTTTCCCTTAACTGCATTTCAAAAGCGTATAACAAAAAAATAAAAACTGACAAAGACATTTTCAATGCACATTGATAAAGGTTTCCATTTCTTCATATCAGTCAAAACCCCCTTTCTTTTCCACCATTAATGTACCTAAAATCTAACTAGTACACACTTCAAAACCACCCAACAAATACTTTCTAAACTCTTCTAATACCCTACTGATCGCTTCCGTAATAACCACTTGTAAACATGTCTCCACCTTAACCCTCTAAACGAAACGTGTGAGCTGTCTTTAACCCTAGATCACAGATCACTTCAAATGCTAACTCCCCCCTAACGGTTTAGTGAGAACTAATAACAGTTTCGAATGTGGATTACAACTTCAAAATTAAATATTTTTCTCTAATTCTTGATGCACCCATAAAACGAATTATTAAACACGCAACTCTTATCGACAAAAACAAAAACACATCGACAACAATCACTACATGGATATGTTAAACATACAAACCAACGATTCTGGCTTATTTTCGGTTATCTGGCGCGACGACAACGTTTTGGTTTGGTATGGTATATGGTATATGGTATATAACCTTAACTTGGCTTACTTATGCACTTTGGTTTCGTTTTGGTTTTGCTTTGTTGCTTTGCCACTCCCGCGCCATCACATACGTAAACACACACCCACCATAACCATCCAGCACCAGGGACAAGAGCAGCGATCCGAATGGCGATCCGGATGGGGAAAGAACTAAATGTCAACTGCCCAATTGCAGCAGTCGCGCCAAGCAGCCCCTGAGTGCCTGGCACTCGAACATCGAGGATTACCGCTGCACCTACACGGGTCTCTATCCGCGCTCCTGGACGGAGTACGATCTGTCTCACTATGGAGTGCGTTTGACCTGTCGCCAGGTATCCCCGGTTATCCCGCATGAGTACAGGGAGTCCAGCCTTCCATGCGCCGTCTTCGTTTGGAGTGTGGAGAATGTCTGTGACCAGGAGCGCAAGGTGTCCATCACTTTCACGTTCAAGAACGGCACTGGCAACAAGAAACAGGATGCCGAGGGAGGAGCCGAGTCGCAGCTAATCAGCGAGGGCAACGCTAAGGGTGTCTCCATCAGGCAGAAGATTGCCGATATGCCCTGCAGCTATAACCTGGCCTGTCGCGTCCTCCCCGAGATCAGTATTACGCGGTGTCCTCAGTTCGATCCCGCTGGAAATGGAGAGCAGCTGTGGGCCCAACTCAAGGAGCACGGACAGCTCAGTGAGCAGCCCACTTCGGAGACCCTTAAAAGTAAGCCCAGATATAAACCTTAAATAAAGAACTGAAGTAATGATTTCCTTGACCTCTTCTCCTTTAGCCAAAGACATTGGCGTGGCAGTCTGTGCCCAGGTGGCCCTAAAACCCATGGCTTCACATGAACTGGAGTTTGTGCTTGCCTGGGACATGCCGAAGATTCAGTTTCCCAGGAAGATGCAGACCCACACGCGCTACTATACCAAGTATTTCGATGACAGTGGAGATTCTGGTCCTAAGATCTGCGAGTATGCTCTGAAGCAGTACGCCACTTGGGAGCGACTGATTGATGCCTGGCAGAGACCCATTCTTACTGATGAGTATGTTTGACCTAAGTTCAGTTTCCAATAAGCTAAACTCAATCCTCCGCTATATAGCACCCTTCCCGACTGGTACAAGTGCGCCATATTCAATCAATTGTACTTCATCTCGGATGGCGGAACCATTTGGTTAAAATGCGACTCTTCGCTGGGTAAGGAGCTGGCCTACGATGACCCACGGCTAGCTTATGGCCGCTTTGGTTACCTAGAGGGTCATGAATACCGCATGTACAACACCTACGATGTCCATTTCTACGCATCGCCGGCTCTTGCCCATCTGTGGCCCAATCTTCAGGTTAGTCTGCAGTATGATTTTAAGGATGCCATCGCCGCGGAGTTAAACGATACCCGTAAAATGCTTTACGATGGCAAGGTGATGCCGCGGAAAGTCAAAAACTGTGTGCCCCATGATCTAGGGGATCCCGATGAAGGTAAGCTTATAATTCTTTCTATTAAGTCTTCTTAACTGAAAAGGCCTTTTCTTTCATAGAACCCTTTACCCTCATCAACTGCTACAACATTCACGATGTGAATGATTGGAAGGATCTCAATACCAAGTTTGTGCTGCAAGTCTATCGGGACTACTACGTCCTCAATGAACTGGCCCAGGCCCAAGCGGATAATGCCAGCAAGTTCAGCTCCATCGAGTTCATCGACAAGGAGAGTTTATATGAGCTGTACAGCCAGGACAACAAGCGCAAAAATTCGGCCGATGAAAAGCAACGTAAGTATATATATCTTTCAAAATCAAAGGTTGATAGTAAACAAGATATATTTATATGTTTTATAGAAAACCGTAAATCTGCATCGATGTACATCAACGAAACTAATGGAAAGGTATACCTAATGGATGCCATTGGATATCTTAAGGCCATGTACGGACCCTGCAAGGCAATAATGGAGCGAACCATTGAGTACGATAAGGACAACGATGGTCTGATCGAAAACACCAAGATGCCGGACCAGACCTACGACTCCTGGGTAATGGATGGGCCAAGTGCTTACTGCTCCGGGCTCTGGTTGGCTGCCCTGCAGTCCATGTCGGCGATGGCCACAATACTGGATCAGCCGAATGATTGCCTACGCTATCAGGATATTCTGGAAAAGGGCAAACGATCGCTGGAGGAGAAGCTCTGGAATGGCAGCTACTATCGATTTGATCTCTCGCACAGCCATCGGGATACGATTATGGCGGATCAGCTATGCGGTCATTGGTACCTGAAGTCCTGCGGCTTCGATTATGAGATCTATCCGAAGGAGAATGTGCGCACGGCTCTTAAGAGGATCTATGACAATAATGTGATGGGTTTTCATGAGGGCAATATTGGGGCGGCCAATGGCTTTATAGCCAATGCCAGTGAACCCACCAAGCCTGGGCATGTGGACAACAGTAACATCCAGGCGGAAGAAGTGTGGCCGGGTGTTGTTTACGCTCTGGCCGCCACCATGATCCAGGAGGGCATGTACGAGGAGGCCTTTCAGACAGCCGGTGGAATGTACAAGACCCTTTCGCAGCGCATCGGCATGAACTTTGAAACCCCCGAAGCGTTGTACGGTGAGAAACGCTATCGTTCCATTGGTTATATGCGTCCCTTGAGCATTTGGTCCATGCAGGTGGCATTGGAACGACGGCGGGCCCAACGCGACTAAATCCAAAGTACAATCTAATCCGAAGTCTACACAACCAAAGATATTTCTAAGCCAGCACAAAGATTTTCTTAGCTTTTAGTTTGATTCTTATGTCGAGGTTGAAAGTGTGTATCGAGCTTATTGGAGATGCGAGTGGATGAAGATTATGTCCTGAGATGGTATTTAAATTTTATAGCTTTATGTGTACTTTTAAGCTGGAATCTGTTGGCGCTTACTCCATGTCTTCTCTAGCTATAAAGCCAGTCACAAATCAAACTGCTACACTCTGTTGAAGTACAACTACGCAATGGTATTCAAATGGAGCACAATTCGTATTTAAATGTTAGCTAAGCAAAATATTTAAATCAATTATAAATGTTTTAATTAATTATGTATGTCTTAAGAAAGTATTTCAATGTGTAAACTGTTGCTGTCTGCAATAAATGTGACCAAAGAGTCATAAATTATTCATGAACACAAAGTAGAATTCACATTTTTCGTTTGGCTTAACTGTAAATGTTAGTTTTAGTTTTTTATTCCAATCTTTTTACAGGGCTATAGTTTCTTTTCCATTTAAAAAATGTTGGTAACAATTCGTTCAACCTCCGTATTTAGAAAAATACAATACACTACTGTTCTGAAACAGACTGCGGATTTCTTGTCTGGCTTATCCAATTCTGCAAAAACTTTTCGTACTCTCTTCGGCTGCGACAGACGATGACGAGGGAGGAAGGTCGACAGCCATGGGACTTTAGCTCCTCCATACGCGCCTTTGTGGTTTTCAGGCTGTGGCACAGAATTCGAGGCACTTGGGCGATCTCAAATCTTGTGAATTTGGCCTCATCGAGTAAGTAGTCTAGCACCTCTTTTATCTAAGGGAGGTGTAGTTAGTTAAGTTATTGCATGCTTAAAGACATCACTGCCTACCTTAGTGACCCGCACAGTGTGCACCTGCGGATGTTTGTCCATGATTACTTTGGTCTCACTAGCGCTGAAGCCCAAACGATGACCGAGGTACTCTACCACAGAGGAGAACTCTCCCAACACCTTGAGCTCGTCTAGGGTAAGCTTCAGAGAGCGTTGTAGTATGGGCTCAGGACAGCGCACCATCCAAGGCATGATTTTGTCTTTCTTCGCTCGCTTGGCTCGCTCCAAACGCAACTGGACCGATTTTGGCGTATACCGAAAAGCCCAGAGATCCTTGAGGACGTTGATCGGCGACACATTGTAGTCGATCATGTGCTGCAGGTTTTTCTCGAACATCTCGTATGGCATCTCCAAAATAAACAGTCGCTTCGAAAGGTATTTGGTTACGATTTCGGGACTGACCTGCAGCTTTTCGCTAATGTAGTACACACGATTTTGCTGCGGTATCGTGTTCCTCTCGGAATTGAGGGCGCCAACGAGTTTTCGAAGGCGTGGCACAGTAAGGCGCAGAAAGGGCACAAAGTGATTGATGTCCTTATATTCCATCGACTTTATTAGCTGCAGCTTCAGTTCCAGCCGTTCTGTGTTAATAGAAAATGTTTAGAAGGTTCGGTGGGTATCCTATTGAAATAAGATTTAAAATTACTCACTGCTATCTAAGGACAGTAGCCAGGGGTACTCCACAAAGCTGCGTCTGCTAACCCCCTCTAGTTGCAGCATATCCAGGATCAAGGTCAGCGATCGTCCTCTATAGGTGCGGTGCACAAGCTCGTCACTCATGATCCTCTGGAGCTCGTCGTCCGTAAAGCGAAAACGTTCCCGCAAAGTTTCGAGGAGCACTCTGGCCTTAGTGCCCGTCTCCTGATCCTGGCGATAAGGCACATAATCGTTTTCCGCCTCGTTGCCACCCAAAGTGGCGCTGGTCAGCAGAGATTTCCTTGGATTTTCTTGGTTTTCATATTGTGAGAAGAGCAGGCGCCGGCTACAGTGCAAAGAAGCTACGTTTGTGGTTGGATGCAGCTTAAGTACCGCCTCAAAGCTGCGCACTAAGTTCCTTAACATACCCAATTAATTATGTTTTTTAAGTTATCAAAAAATAGTCCAACTTATAAAACAAGCAGCAGGAACAGCTGATATGTTGCGTCGCTTAACAGCTGACCATGTGGCCCAAACAAAGGCTGAGCTGTACAACACTCAACTGCTTATCGTTATCGTTTTTCAAAATATTCTGTTACAAGATTAGAAATTTAAAAAATAATAAGTTTAAATCCATATCATGTCATAACTATCTTTTAAATCAGCTTGGATACCACTTAGACTATAAAAATAAAGCCCAAGATATCCTGTCCATAATTAACTATACTCTTATTTCATCAACGATAATTTTTTGACTTTATTTTCAAAAATACTACGCTCCAAAGCTAATCGGAACATTAACGGTAAATATCGACTTGTAGGGTTTTTAGACAAATCATGAATATTTCTATCACAATCACTGGGAACACATCCGTCTACTCCACATCGACGTCCTTGGTGACGCGACCCACCCAGTAAACAAATCCGGTCTGCACTACGGTGGCCATGAACTTGACATTGCCCTTGTAGCCAGCTGGGGGAATCCAATCGAAGGTGACGCTGGTCAACGGACTGCCCTTGGTGGCCTTCAAGTGGGTGAGGGTGTCATCCTTGCCAGAGCATTCCAAAGTCTGCGAGTGCTTAGGGTCCACCACCTGGAACTGACCGACGACACGGTTCTGGCCATCGCGTGCTTGGATCATGAAGCCAAGGAACTCATCGCCACCCAGGGTAAGGGTCAGCTTCTGATCACCACGCACATGGGGTGGGCCAGTGATGCTGTAGGGGGGCTTGTCTGTCTGCAACTTGGCACCGTGCTGGGGCGTCAGATCCCGGCAAGCGGCCTTTGGAGCACCCTCGGAATAGGCGTGGACACTGATGGCCAGGCAGGCAGCAATCACCAGCAGACGGAACATATCTGTAAAGGAAAAAAAATCATAATATTTAAAACTAATCTTACATTTCACATACAACTTTCATTATTATCAAAAGCTCTTAAAAAAAGGTAAACAAGTTCATAAATAAAAAAAATAGTTTCCATTTTCATAATACATATTTTCTAAGACAATAAATTACTTAAGTTAGTTTTAATCACTTATAGAAATGCAATTGCTACCGGTTATTGTTTAACTTTTCCCGTAACCTTTTTTGTGCATGCTGTTTAATTGCATTTACTAGTTTTTCATAAATTAATTAATTAACATTTCCACTCAAGTGAGACTTTATTCGTTGGCCTTGGCCAGCTTGACTTTGCTTAAGTTGTTTTTTTTTTCATTTTTGTTTACATATATACGTAGGCAGTTACAAAAATATATTGAAAACTAGCTCCAATTATGTAGTTTGTCAACGACAAAGCTAATATGCAGTTTGTTCAGTTTCTGCTGCCATAACGGGTATCTAGATGTATATAGCCTTGACTGTTGACAGTCTGTGATTCTACAAGATTTGGGATAAGGTTATAGTTTTCTTACTGAAAACCATCTATTAATATAAGAAGCCTCCAACAAGAAGTCTCCCAAAAACATTTTAAGTGCCCAAATGAACCGAAATTAAGTTAACATTTCAATCACGCCTGGCTCATAAATCTTGAGATTCGCAGAAATAAGAAGCCGCAAACAAAAAAAATTTATTCAATATTAAAATTGGCCAAGATGCATGTTGATTAAATCCGATTTTTAAAAAAAATCATCAAACTGGTTTCTCAGGCGTAAACGAAAACTGTATAAAGACCAAACCAGTTTGCAGTACATTTCCATAGAAGAGTAACTCTATAATTGTTTATTTTATTGTCCTATCATTACTATTCAAAAACGATCGAATCGAAACGAATGTGACAATTTAAAAAACGTGAACAATTAAGATGAGAGAGACCTAAGTACTTCCTCAAACCAACTTCAGGTTCAAGGTGACTTTTGGGGTCTTTGTGGAGTACCGATCTACCGATCGATCATCGGCCTCCTCCACTTTTTTTGTCGCCATGGTTGGCTAAAAAGACCTTGTGAAGACCGGGCCGTAAGCCAAGCCTCGATCTGTCTTGCAATATGCTAAAGTTCAGCATTGGACCCACTGGTGTCTGAGCCAAGTCTCGCTTCTTTTTCTGTTTTTTTCTGTCACTTTTATCTGTGTATTTATGGGCCTTTGTCCAACCGGTTGCCAGATTTGTTTAGATAAAATCTCAATACATAGTTGTCTAATTTTTCGGTTTTTTTTGTTTTTCTGTCAGTCATTACGTTGATCTATGAGCAGAGGCCTCAATTAGCTAACTTTTATAATGGTTCGGAAAACATTATTATTAGCAAATTGATGGGATAGAATTGCTGAAGCTTGAAAATTCAAACCCATTCTATTCTAAATCTATTTAAGTCAGTTGCGAAAAACGGATATTGTAATGACAGGAATAAGTTTAATATTAAGGTTTCAGATTGTTTCTTTTTTTTCATATTTATCGGCGAGATTTTTCACTTTTGAAGGGGCAAACTCCTGTTAAGAGTTTTTGAAACATTGGTATACTCCCCAGAATTTTAGCACTAGAACAACACAGCCTTAGCAATCTCTTAGGATCTTTTAAGCATAAATAATTACTAGACCAATTTTTACCTACCACTTGGAAAACACACGCAAAACGCACAAAAGAAAAACTTGAAATGAGCTGAAAATTCTAAAACAGCTTCCTATTTATACCGAAAATTGAACAAAATTATAAAATAGCTTTTGCAAAGTCAACTTTGTAAGCAAAAGAGACCTGTCCAAGCCGAGCTTCAGCCGCAACTTCAGCGAGTTGGCCAACTTAAAAGCTCTGAAAGTTCATTTTGAATTTTTAACGCTTAATCTTAAGCGCGACATAAACAGTGACTAAGTGTTTACTTCGATCTAGATATCAAATGGCACAGCAATTAGCAGTTGTTTTATTGATTTAAGGCAGATACTTTCGAATAAGTATTCGCTAATAAAAGTCACAGCTGTTCGGTGGAAAGCTAGTGGCTTATACTTATGGGTCAACTATCAAGTTTATTTTATGGTCTGTTCAATATATAGGTTTTATATAGTTGTGTCTCAGGGATCTATTTTATATAATTAAATTCATGCTAATCAGATAAGTTAAGTATTATAAAGAATTGCAAGATTTCAATCAAATTCTCAACAGAGTAACCTGAGATTGTTGCGAAATTTTTACATGTCATTTTAATTCCTTTTCACTTAATTGTTGATCTGTAAAAATGGGTGCCGAGCAGTCTGCAGTTTTGGCCTGTACTCAGACGGGAATCCCACAGAAACCCCTGGAACTGCCCAACTCTGAGCTGTTCTTCCGCTTGTATTTTGACAAGATGCCGGAGCCTAAAACTGGTCCTGTAACAGAAGCGCTTTTGCGTTTGGTAGAACATTTAAACCAGCCAAACGCTAATGGTAACATATCCAATTAGTTAAATGTCTTTAATTTAAAAGTCCTCCCAATGAAGCTGAAGAAGCTCAACTCATCCAGGAGGAAGATATAAGCAGTGATAGTGGTTTCACTTCGGAGTTCAGTGATTCTAGTGAAGTCTAGCCCAGTCTCACGCCATCGGTAGATTCATCATCAGGAATAAATATTAATTTAAAATATGAATTTATTTACAGAACTAATTACAAGTTGTTTCTACTTAAAGTTAACCTTTTTCAGTCTCAGCGACTTGATAGGTCTAACAATGCTCCTTCGCTCTTCACGGTGCTTCTTCATCTCCGCCTCCCGTTTCTTGGCATGGTACTGCGATTTCTTCTGCTTGTTTACTTCGAATGTCATCTGCCGGTTGCCAAGGGAGCGACCCACATTGGTAACCTGGCCCTCCAGTTGAGACATGACCTTCACGCGATCCTGCAAGCTGGCCTTTTTGATGCGCTGCTGCAACAGACTACGGCCTTGATGCTGGTCTAGGGCAGTCATGGTGAAGTGGTTGCCGTTTGTAGTTGGTTTTTGAGTGTATCCATTTGCCTGTGGTCTTGCTGTAGCTTCTGGACTGTCTTCATGCTGCTCGTCATTTTCTTCTTCCAATTCCTCCTCTTCCTCGCGCTGCCGTTTCACCTGTTTGTATGCCTGTTTCATTTCCTTGACATACTCCCTGCGGTCATCGTCATCCGATGATGCTTCGTCACCACTATCATCCTTTGACTCGCCATCGCTCTTCTCAAAGCCAAACAGATCCTCGTCGTTGTCGCTTTCCTCGCGCTGCTTTGCCTCGTCGGCGTGCAACTCAGCCACATGAGCCACTTCCACTCGCTTCTTGAGCTCCTTGGCCTTGGATTTATCCAGCCGATTTAGAACAGGAGCCAACAGACGATATTCCTCAGCAGACTTGTTAACAGCAAAGTCGGCATTCTCGAACATGGCCTTGAAACGGGTATCTTCCAGCAGATTTGGCACATTGCGCTGCTTGGAACTGTTTGAAGGATTTGCCTGTTCGTCCATAATCTTGAGGGCCAATTCTTTGTTGACCTTGGGCAGCTTGGAATCGATTTGCAGGCGGGACTTCCGCTCGCTTTCAATTTCTTGACGGATCTTGTCTTTGCGGAAGCGGTCAAAAGCGAAAGGTTCAACCACAGCCTTTGCTTTGTTGTACAGTCGAGCGTCCATGAAGTATCTAAAGATTATCAAGAGATTTAATGAAATTGTATCCTACTGGTATCCTTATAAGACTTACCCATGCATATAACCCCTGAGCAGATTGCTGCCAACGAGATGCTCCATGCCCAGTTCCGCCAGCTCCTTGGCCGTGACAAACTGGTAGTCATCGTAGACATTCTCCACGACCTCCGATTCGATCTCCTCGGTAAGGTTGTCCAGAAAAGAGCACCAGCGTGGTGCTGGGCCCATAGCAGGCACATAGTAGGTCATCATTTTCACATCTTCCTGAGCCACAAAGAACATTCCCGTATCAGGAATGGTGCAGAAATCGTTAAAGGACGAGGTGGACTCGACGTAGGCAATCTGCTTGCCTGTCTGCTCATCCCATAGCTTTAAAGTGGCTTCGTCTAAACTGTAAACGGCATTCTGGGCAGGATTGAATGCCAGACGCTTGATGGGCAGTCGATTTAGATGATTCTTCACTAGCAGTGGTTGTTTGGCGCGGATGTCATAAATCAGCACATGTCCGGAAGCAGTTCCGACTCCCATGTGCAAGCCATTCCTGAATTTGAGAGCCGTAACAGAGGGAAACTCCTTAAAGCCCGGCAACTTCATGGCGACATCTAAAGTAGAACAACGCTGCTTGGTACGCGGGTCCCATGCCTCCACGGTGCCTTCTTTTGTGCCCGCCAGCAGAAGATGGTGCTCAGGATTCACATCGCAGGCATTAAGGCAGCTTCCATCAGTTTCGAAGGGTTGCAGAAACTGCCCGCGCTCTAAGTTGAGTCGGTAAATGTCCTAGCAATTAAGTGGTTAGAAGGGAAAAGTACTTAAATAAAGATTAGTACTCACCCTTCCCACGCCCACGATGAACATGTCGCAGCTGGGCTTGTGATACTTCATGTCCCGCCCAAATCGCGGAATCCTTAACCTGTAATGACGCCCATGAGCCGCATGGATCTCCACATAGCGGTCGCACTGCAGGAACACCATTTTACCGTAGTCCTCGCTAATTACCTCGAAAGTGGTCACCTCGGAGTCGAAGCAACGCTCAAATTTGATGGACAGGTTAGACACCTCGAAGCACTTGACTCGCGGTTTATAGGTGCCGGTGGCCAGGATGTACTGTTGGTCGGGACTCATACGAATGCTGGTACATACGCCGGGCATATCAAAATCTTGGATGAGCTCAATTTGTCGCCGGGAGTCAACCTTTTTCATCAGCTGCGATCGCTTTTTCCGATCCGTTAGCCACTGTAAACCGAATTTTCTTGATTTATCTGAATTGAACTGGGATAATCCTTATACTTACATCTGGCACCGACTTGCCGGCGCTCAGGTTGTAGATCTTCACATCGTTAACTTCGTTTACGAACATTTTGACGGTTAATTTGTGAAGAAATTAACAACATAAACAAACGAAGCCCGCAACACGTGCGCCCTCTATCGATAGAACTGCTTTATCGATTATTCGTTCGATTAGTATCATCAATCGCGACAATGTGACCGTGTGCTTGCCAATTTCCGAAGTGTGACCACAAATGTCAAAGCAAAACAAGAGAACGCAAAAGCAGAGGAAAAGTGTCTACTGATTTGCATCGACCTGCCAATTGAAAATAATTGCAATAATAATAGCCTTTTGGTATAGAATCGCCCACCCGCGAAGCCAGTGTGTGTGCTAGCACGTAACTGAGCTACATTTTGCATTGCCAAATTGGCCAAGAAATCGCAACTGAATTCCGCCCAACAAAACAACAATACGCACACATACACATTAGCAACCTCGCCCCCCGCGCTTTTCTTAACCGCCCTACATTCCGCTTTCCTTACGCTCCCTAAGGTGAACTAAAGTGATCTAAAACGGTGAGTAATATTCGCTGTTTTTCTGTGTAAGCCAATTAAAGACTGATTAAATTATACGGAATGGAAATCCACCTGCAAACAGGGTGACGACGCAGTGCACCAGTGGGTGCTTACCATTACCAACTTTCCCCTGGTGCTCTCCCACTCTCTTGTTTTAGTCGTTAGGGAGCACCATAATATTGTTGTTGTTGTTATATACACCCCCTGAATGGTTTGATACCCTACTATAGGGTATGCTGGTTTTCATTACGTTTTTGTGATTCAGTGACTTGCGTTAGTGATTAAAAAGGGTTGATTTAAGATACAGTTGGTTATTAGTCTAATCCCGTTTACTAGATAACAATTCATTGGAAGTTTGTATTAGTTATTATAAAGTAGGAAAAAAATTAAGGTGAAAGCGACCTCCTCCATTTCAGAGATAAATCTAACAATATAGAGTGTAATTTTAAAACAATGTTCCCACTTAATGAACATATTTCTTAGAATTTGTTATCTTTCATTTATATACATATACATACATATACTGGTTGAGCTATGTATTGTTTTTCGCAATTGCTGTAGTTTTCAACAGATTTTTACTCAAGTTATTTGCTTCAGATTCATTCCATTAAGGAACTGTATCAGAGCTCCTCTGAAGACCTAAAATCACTGGTAAAACCTTTAAAAGCGTATTAGAAATTCGGCTGCGTGAGACTACGTGCCTTTCTTGTTTTTTCGCCTTGTTATGGGTGCGCCTTTGTGTTTCTTTCACGAGGAAAGCCAGATGATCCACTTCCATTGTAAATAAGTATGTATGTGCAAGCTGAAGGATTTCGCGTCTATTGATTGCTCCACTGATGTGTGGCCTTTGGCGCTTGACTGATAAGACTCGAGACCGAAACCATTGGTTTATCTAAATTGCCCGCCGGAGAGTCTATAAAATTGATATTTACTTGGCAGTTTGACAGGCAATGAAAACTGATTACAATTTTTATTATTATAGCTCAATTTAAATATATGTTTAAGAAAAACAGTAACTTAGTAATTTTAATGAATGTATATAGTTTGTAAATAATACGTATGTCCAAGATTGCAAATATCGCGTTGTAGTGTGAGGGAAATCATTCTCTCATCACGTTTTTTATGAATAAGTTAGTATTTGCATCTGTGGAATAATCAATTAGCTATTCTCCAGTTTACCGCTTTTATTAATTGAATTCCCATGATTACGAGCCGACCTTGAGCCTTATCCCTTTCAACTTGTCTGAAGGGTTCGCTGACTTCAGTCTCAAGCTGAGCTAAACTGCGGTCCAAATCAAAGACTTTCGAGCCATGCTGATACTCTGAAAACCCAAAGTCAAGTGGTATGGAGGGTTTTTACCTGCCACTCTTGAAACATCACTTTATGGACTCTAGTTGGCAAATAAACAAACCCGGTCGGCTGTTCAAACACAAGCATGCCTTAAAAAAGAAATATCGGGGCCAGTTCGAAAAAAAGGGGAACAAAATGTGGAGCTGACGCAGAACAAATTAATGCAGCGCCTCAGTTTGTTGATAAGCAGCGCCAACGGTTGGACATTCAAATGAGCACCTGACATAGTGATAGTAAACCAATTGCTTGGGTCGGAGTTCACTCCCGTAGATGTCAAGATGAGCAAAGTGCGCAGTGTGGTGAATAAGTTGCACGAACGTATTGACTATTTTATAGAGAAATGTGGGAAAACCCTACCAGAACATACAAAATAATAAAAATTTCAAAATGCTTTTTAGGTCCCAACATGACTGCTGCGCCGTACAACTACAATTACATCTTCAAGTACATCATCATTGGTGACATGGGCGTGGGCAAGTCCTGTCTGCTCCACCAGTTCACTGAAAAGAAATGTAAGTAGCTCCTAAAAAGTATAATCAATTTTGATCTAAGTATAAATATATATTTCAGTCATGGCCAATTGTCCACACACCATTGGCGTGGAGTTTGGCACACGTATCATCGAGGTGGACGACAAAAAGATCAAGCTGCAGATCTGGGACACAGCGGGCCAGGAACGATTCCGGGCCGTCACACGCTCCTACTACCGAGGAGCTGCCGGGGCTCTGATGGTCTACGATATTACCAGACGGTTAGTCAAAGAAAAATAAACTTCGAAAATAGTTAAATGTGATAAACAATTGATAATTTCAGCTCTACGTATAATCACTTGAGCAGCTGGCTCACCGACACTCGAAATCTCACCAACCCCAGCACTGTGATCTTTCTCATTGGCAATAAGTCGGATCTGGAGAGCACTCGCGAGGTGACCTACGAAGAGGCCAAGGAGTTTGCCGATGAGAACGGTCTCATGTTTCTCGAAGCTAGTGCTATGACGTGAGTTGAATATATTTGCTAGACTTGTTCTCAGTGTATTCGAGGAACAACAAATATTTAGTGCAAAACATTTAGAAGTCCTCACCTTAAAATACCACATAATAATAATGAGAACAAGATTTTGTACTGCCAAATACTAATTAAAATTATTCTCAAACAGTGGCCAAAATGTAGAAGAGGCTTTTCTCGAGACCGCTCGCAAGATCTACCAGAACATCCAAGAGGGACGGCTCGATCTGAATGCCTCTGAATCTGGAGTCCAGCACCGGCCATCGCAGCCCTCGCGAACTTCGCTGAGCAGCGAGGCCACGGGCGCCAAGGATCAGTGCTCGTGCTAAATGAATGCACTTAACTTTACACAACCCTAGATATACAAATGAACTTTTATTTTTAGCCGACTCGTAATCTACCGAAGCCCAAGCAAGAAAACCAATGTATGTAGTTGAATGATTCGATTAAGCATTAATGTGTGAGCCAACAACAGCGACAGTAACCACAAAAAATAAGAAACAAAATATATAAGCCCTCCCCCGAAAAAGAAGACGCAACCTCTTAAACATTTATAATATCGATTAAGCATAAATATTAGATAATTGAACACGTTTGTTGGTTAGCGCGAATACTTCTCACGCATTCGTTAGAGGAACCAAAGTTTTGACTATGAAATTTCGAAAAAGTTTATCGCTCTATTCTAAGCACCAACACTCGTTTGGCCACAAAATATATATAGCTAAATGCGTTCGATAGACCAAGTTTTCTGTTGGCTGTATCCCTGTATATATATGAATTTTTGTATCTCCTTTAATCAATCATTTTTTGTTGAGTATTTGTTGTAGTCGCGTGACAAAGATGGGAGAAAATCGATCAATGTTATATGAATATTAACGATGTATTAATGGCATAATGCAATAGGAAATAAATAAAACGGTATTTATAAAGCCCCTACCTATAGAAGTGATTTTATTATTTAAATATTTTTGAGTTTTTTGAGGGGAAAGGTATAATACCCACATTTGAAAACATTATTGTTTTACGATATTAAAGTTGTTAAACAGTTTTATTTTTTATTAAAAAATATATAAATAAAACAGGATACGAACTACTACTAACTAAAATTTTTCTACGCTTTAAGGTTTACTGAATAGTTTCAAAAATACGTTACTTTTACGTTAACTTTCAGAATTAACATTTTCGCATAACAGCAATATAACATTTTCTGGAATACCCTTGTCTTTGACTTGCGCATAACACTGTTCTATGGATTTCAGCGCTGTTTCAGACTATGAAAAAGATGATACATTAAATAGATAAATAAAATAATAAAACTAAAACTAAATAAAATTTAAAACTAAAGGATTAAGCGAAAGTAAAGTATGGCTGCATTACATTAATAATCATTACAACTACAATCAGTAAATTCAAAGTTCCCGCCTGCCTTAGCTTTCCCGCAGTTAACCCAAAAAAAAACCAGATTTGGTGGGAAAAAACGTAGCTAACAGCTCTGGCACCATCGCCCGCAGCTGTGTCTCCGCTTTTGTGCGAATGGAACGCCGTGGTATGCAAATTGAAATTAATTTATTCAGTTTATCATGCAAGACAAGTGACGAAACAGCTGCCTAAATAGCCAGCCAACGGGGCAACGTAAGTAAATCTCGACCCATGATGCAAATCAAGCGCCTCCTTTGCAAGTCCTGCGGTCTGGGCACCCTTTTGGTGGCAGTCGTCTGGCTGCTGGCGCTTCTCTTCTACTCGCACAGCTTGAGAAGCTCCATTCGCTCGGCTGGCTGGAGGATCGACGAAAGGAATGCCACACCACGAGCTGAGTTGAGCTACCAGGCTAGAGTCACTGTCGGATGCACACCAAACAGCGAGAAAAACTCCTCAGTGGTAAAGGAATCCCTGGGAGAACCCAATCCCCAAAGTGATACCGATCAACTGGAGCTTTTGGGCGTGGTGCGCAACAAGCAGGACAAGTACATCCGGGATATAGGCTACAAGCATCATGCTTTCAACGCCCTGGTGTCTAATAATATAGGACTTTTCCGGCAGATTCCCGACACCCGCCACAAAGTTTGCGATCGCCAGGAGACGTCGGAGGCGGAGCATCTTCCCCAGGCCTCGATCGTAATGTGTTTCTACAACGAGCACAAGATGACCTTGATGCGGTCTATAAAGACAGTGCTAGAGCGCACGCCCTAGTTACCTTCTCCGGGAGATTATCCTGGTGGATGATCACAGCGATCTGCCTGAACTGGAGTTCCATTTGCACGGGGATCTGCGGGCCCGCTTAAAGTATGACAACCTGAGGTACATTAAGAACGAGCAGCGTGAGGGTCTTATTCGATCGCGGGTGATTGGAGCCCGCGAGGCTGTCGGGGATGTCCTTGTTTTCTTGGACTCCCACATCGAAGTCAATCAGCAGTGGCTGGAGCCATTGCTGCGCCTCATCAAGTCTGAGAATGCCACTCTGGCGGTGCCCGTCATTGACCTGATTAACGCCGACACCTTTGAGTATACACCCAGTCCACTGGTGCGTGGAGGATTCAACTTGGGGGCTGCATTTTCGATGGGAGAATCTGCCCGAGGGCACGCTCAAGGTGGCGGAGGACTTCCGCGGACCCTTCCGCTCGCCCACCATGGCTGGCGGTCTTTTCGCTGTAAACAGGAAGTACTTCCAGCACCTGGGCGAGTACGACATGGCCATGGATATATGGGGCGGCGAGAATATCGAGATCTCCTTCAGAGCTTGGCAGTGTGGCGGTGCCATTAAGATCGTGCCCTGCTCCCGAGTTGGTCACATATTTCGAAAACGTCGTCCGTACACCTCGCCCGATGGGGCCAACACCATGTTGAAGAACTCGCTCCGATTGGCACACGTTTGGATGGATCAGTACAAGGATTACTACCTAAAGCATGAGAAGGTGCCCAGGGCCTATGATTACGGGGACATCAGTGATCGTCTGAAGCTAAGGGAGCGCCTTCAGTGCCATGATTTTGCTTGGTACCTGAAGAATGTCTACCCAGAGCTGCATGTGCCGGGCGAGGAGTCCAAAAAGTCAGCGGCAGTTCCCATGTTTCAGCCTTGGCATTCGCGAAAGAGGAACTATGTAGACACATATCAATTGCGTCTGGCGAAAACGGAACTCTGTGCCTCCGTAGTGGCTCCCAAAGTTAAGGGTTTCTGGAAGAAGGGAAGTTCCCTGCAACTACAGCCTTGCCGGAAGACGCCGAACCAGCTGTGGTACGAGACAGAAAAGGCAGAGATTGTGTTGGACAAGTTGCTCTGCATGGAGGCTTCCGGCGATGCCCAGGTCACGGTGAACAAGTGCCACGAGATGCTGGGTGACCAACAGTGGAGGCACACCCGCAACGCCAACAGTCCCGTCTACAACATGGCCAAGGGAACTTGCTTAAGAGCGGCAGCCCCAACTGCTGGAGCCCTTATCAGCCTGGATCTGTGCTCCAAGTCGAGTGGTTTGGGTGGAGCATGGGACATTGTGCAGCTAAAGAAGACAAAGGAGGAGGAAGACAAGGCCAAGGACAAGGCGCTGTGAGCGGGCTGCCCTGCTGGCGTAAAGCAATATTAGACTGATAAATGATTAGAACAAAAGTGTATTATGTTTAAATAGGCAGTATTTTTTCATGAACTTTTTTTAATAAAACTTATAAAAAAAAATATTTATAATACAAATGCAGAAAAGGTTATCGTAAACAGAAGGTCACAAAATGGTTATTTGAAAGCGAATCTTTAACTTGACTTTATGACCAAACGCAGAAACAGGTTTTGTTTTTTATATTAATGATAAATTTATTAAATAATGTCAGCATAACTTGTTATGAAGATGATTAATCTAAAAGAAGAATTAGCTTATTAGCGTCTAACTATTAGTATCAATCAAATGTTTAATTAATTTCAGATATAACATGTTTTCTCCTATTTGTATATGTGCCACATTTTTGCATAGTTTATCAATATTTAATTTTACAAACCTTGTGAGATATTAAACATAATCGGGAATAAAATATAAAACAATATGTACAGAAATGTTAAAATTGTTTGGCATACATCTTAATAATATATAATAATACCCATAATTTCGAGATCTTATTTTTGTCCTAAATTTTTGCATTACCTATAATACGAATTTAAAGAATAAGAATTGACTAGAGTTTTTACTGCCAAAACGTAAAATATATTCTCTAATAGAAAAATCCTTAGTAAATGGTAGTAAATGGATCAATAATAATTAATAAAATTTTGAAAATCCAAACCAATTTCAATTTATTTATGGTGTAGTTTTTGGTATTTTTAAATGTAAAATAAAAACAGTATTTTGTACGCTACTATCAGCGGTCACACTGTGATTATGCTAAAAACGGGCGCCAAATTGCGTGGTTCTAATAAACAATTTTAAAAGCAGAAAGATGCAGGCCAAAGCAACAGACAGTCGACAGGAACCAACGCTGCATATGGGTGAGTATATTTACAATAAAATTATTACGATGTTACCTTATATGAAATTATTTTCCAGACACAAATGCGCGTCGCAATTTCATTAAATTCCATATAAAACTCGGCGAGGTAAGTGAATGTTACTATGCAAATTAACTTCATCTGCATTCTCATTCTACGCTGTAACTTTGTAGAAACCCGGGACGACAGTCCGCTTTTTCGATCACTCCGATTGCTATACGGTCCATGGCAGCGATGACTGCGAATTGGTCGCCAAAATCGTGTACAAATCCACAGCGTACATTGGCACTCTGCTGCCGGACGAAAAGAAAGACTCACTCTCATTTGTGTCCATGTCCAGGAACAACTTTGAGCTAGCTGTGCGTGAGCTGCTCCTGGTGCGGAATCTCCGCGTGGAAGTGTATGTCAAGCAGTCCACTGACTGGGAACTGGAGTATCGCGGATCCCCCGGCAATTTGCTGCAATTCGAAGATATTTTGTTTGCCAATAAGGAGGTTCTAGTGGGCAACAGCATTATCTCACTGTTGGTCAAGGTAGAGGGCGGTGGTCAGCGCCGTGTGGGCGTGGCCAGCGTCGAACAGAACGATTGCAAGTTTCAATTGCTCGAGTTCCTAGACGACGATTTCTTCACCGAGCTGGAGGCCACTGTGGTGCTACTCGGACCCAAGGAGTGCTTGCTACCTAGTTTAGAGGGCGACTATGCAGCCGTAAAGACGCTGCTCGAACGAAATGGCGTCATGATCACCGTTCCCAAGAAAAGCAGCGCTAATGATTTGTTGCAAGATTTAAACCGCCTGCTGCGCTTCGCCAAGGGACAACAGGAGGATGCCACAGGCTTGAAGGAGCTTCAGCTTAAGCTGGCTTCAAACGCCCTGAAGACGGCTATAAAGTATCTGGACCTGGTCAACGACGCTGGCAATCTGGGGCACTACGAGATCAAGCAACTAGACCTCAAGCGGTAAGAGTTGGTAATGTGTTCTCTTAATCACAAACCAAACTAAAAATATTTATATTTTACAGCTTTGTTCACTTAGACTCGGCTGCTGTGGCTGCCTTAAACATTATGCCCAAACCAGGCACTCATCCATCCATGCCCTCCTATCGCTGGCAAAGCATTCTAGGGGTCCTAGACCATTGCCGAACGCCACAGGGACATCGCCTAATGGGTCAGTGGGTCAAACAGCCACTACGTAGCCGGGAAATCCTTAATGATCGTCACAACATCGTCCAGTGCCTACTTGAATCGCCAGATACTATGGAGACGCTCAGTTTAGATTATCTTAAGCGTATTCCAGATATTCTCATGCTGACCAAGAAGCTAATGCGACGTAAGGCAAATATGCAGGATCTTTTCCGTATTTATCAAGTGATTCTACGAACACCGAAGATTTTAAAGGTGCTGTTCGAGTTAGAAAATTCTACGATTGAGAGTGTAATCTGCGTGCCGTTTAAAAGTTTCCTGGAAGATTTGACCGGACTAAAGCAAATGGTTGAGCAGGTCATGGACTTTGAGGCCATCGAAAGGGGAGAGTATCTGGTGAAGGCTTCGTTCGATAGTCGACTTATGGAACTGCAGGAGACCATGACAGAACTTTATTCGAAGATGGAAAGGTTAAAATCCAAGTGCAGTGATGAGTTGAATTTAGATGGCAAGAACCAGGTGAAGTTGGAAAATGTAGCCAAGTTGGGGCATCACTTCCGTATCACGGTGAAGGACGATTCAGTGCTGCGAAAAAACAAGAATTATCGCGTCGTGGATGTAATTAAAGGCGGAGTTCGTTTCACATCCGACAAATTGGAAAGCTACGCCGATGAGTTTAGCAGTTGTCGCACCCGCTACGAGGAGCAACAGCTGTCCATTGTGGAGGAGATCATTCAGGTGGCTGTGGGATATGCTGCCCCACTTACTTCACTTAACAATGAGCTTGCCCAGCTCGACTGCTTGGTCAGCTTTGCCATCGCCGCTCGCAGTGCTCCTACACCCTATGTACGACCCAAAATGCTAGAGGAAGGTGCAGGCGAATTAGTTCTTCAGGATGTGCGTCATCCTTGCTTGGAGTTGCAGGAGCATGTCAGCTTTATAGCAAACAGTGTGGACTTTAAAAAAGGTACCAGTTTTCTTTACAATTTGCAAATTTCATTTTATATCTCACATTTGATACAGATAATTGCAACATGTTCATCATCACGGGTCCAAATATGGGAGGAAAAAGTACTTACATTCGCTCTGTGGGAACCGCTGTGCTTATGGCTCATGTCGGCGCTTTTGTGCCCTGTAGCTTAGCCACAATCAGCATGGTTGACTCCATTCTTGGAAGAGTCGGAGCTAGTGATAACATCATCAAGGGTTTGAGCACATTTATGGTCGAGATGATTGAAACATCTGGCATAATACGGGTAAGGAGAAGCAGAGATTATCAAATTCAACTAAACTAATCAATTATTCCTTTTTCCCAGACTGCCACCGACAAATCATTGGTAATTATTGATGAACTTGGTCGTGGAACTTCCACCTACGAGGGTTGTGGCATCGCCTGGTCCATTGCTGAACATCTGGCAAAGGAGACCAGGTGCTTCACATTGTTCGCCACCCATTTCCATGAGATAACTAAGCTGGCAGAGACTCTGTCCACGGTTAAAAACTGTCATATGGCGGCAGTGGCGGATGCGGATAACTTCACACTGCTGTATCAGGTACGTCCAGGGGTCATGGAGACGAGCTTTGGCATTCAGGTGGCGCGATTAGCCAATTTTCCCGAGCATGTTGTACAGAATGCCCAGGAGGTGTATAACGAGTTCGAGGACGAACATGTTGACAAGCAGAAAAAGGAGGACAAGGCACTTCTGGAGAAGATTCAAGTGGCCATACAACAGCTGTCAACAGCCGGGAACAATGTTGATATCAACGTAGAGGACTTTACCCAGCTGGTAACGCAGTTCACAAAGGATATTGAGCAGCTGGATAGCGATTACTTCAAATCTGTGCTGGCCACTAGTGAGGCTTAGAAGGTAGGAAGGAAGTCAATTTTATAAGGCAGTATTAACTATACAGGCAGGAAGCGGGGTAGTCTTCTAATAGATGATACACAAATTGTATTAGCTGTAAGTTCAATCAGTTTTATACTTTTTTTCTGGTTATTATATTCTTCACATCAACTTGAAAGTAACTCTAACATCACCATCAATTTTTCTTTGGTTGCAAACCACATTAAGTTTTGTTTTGCAAGGATTTGTAACAAATCCTAGATGTATTAAGAATGTTAATAGCTGATACTAATTACAAAATACATTATAATAAGATTGTTGCCTGAACTCAAAAATGCCGAAACTATTCGTATTCCATTTATATTTTAATAAATAATCACTTATAAATAAATACATATATACATGTATGAAAAACACGATCACTATATAAGCGCCAAAACGTTTTTGAATAAAAGTTATAAGTTTATGAAGAAGGAAATCAAATGTACCTTTTAGCATTGGAGTTAAGTTGGAATTTTAGTTTAAATAAGATTTTTTTTAAATGAAAGTTTTAAAAGTAATAAAAAATGAGTCTCTATCGTTAGACTTAAATTGAATTCATGTTCCAAAACCGTCACACGATTTGGAAACTCGGTGATTTGTGTGTTACTAATAGCACTATTTCTCCAGCTTCGACTACGGCTCCGTGCCAAAGACACATTGAACACGCTTTTTAACACAGCGCTAACTACAAAATACGAGCCTGACAAACTGTCAATTTAATCGGCCGGGTTTTAACCTCAGCTGTCAGTTGGGCTAAAGCGCCGCCGTTACGTTGGCCCGAACTTTAGCTCGACTGTCATTACCAAATTCAACTTAAGTGCTGTCAAAAGATAATTACCGTTTCGGCTTTGATTTTTCTTACCTTTTTTACTTTTTGAGACAACTAAATGACAACAGCTCTCAGAAAGGCCTAAACCAGTTTGTCTCAGTCTGCTGCCTGTCCTGGTCTGATTCAATAATAAGGCTAAAATAAAAGATTAGTGGAATTGCTATTTTTGGACGGGCAATAAATTAATATATTAAGAAATTAATTAATTAGTAGAAGTTCTAAAGTTTAAAGCGAGATGAATCGCCCTTAAGCTAGATCCTCCCAATTAGGCTTTCTAAAAAATCTTGAACACGACATTATTGGTTAGTATCTGATATATTCCCTTGCCCATGGCTGTGCACACATTCAATTTGATATCGCATACTCAGCAAACATGGCGTGTTAGCAACGCTTAACAGCATCCAAAATTGACAGGCAACTTTAAATATATTGCATTTGCGGCCAGTTCGGCATGCTTGTCTGCCACGATTAGTGGCAAGCAGCCAGCAGCCAACGAGGCAGGCTCTCCGATCCGGCTCTCCATCTTCCATTCTCCCATCCTCCTCCCATCCACCATTTCCAGCTCCTTTAAAGCCAACTTCATTTGGGTGAATGGGGCGAAGACGTACGATGCGACGCGACGCGTACAATTATTAATTTGATACGATATAATTGACATGTTGCCGATGCCAAAAAGGAAGCACTAACATGCAGCCAACAACAACAAAAGCAACAGCAGAAGCAGCAAAAGCAACAGCGGCAGCAGGAGCAACAACAAGGTGAAACCTCGTAACGTGGCCAACAAGCTAAGCCAGAGCGACGCATATTAACGCCATGGCTTAGACACAAGGACCGATCCGGCTTAGAGATGGCATTTAAATAAGGAATTTTATTACCAAAAAGTAAGAAATGTTTAATACTGGTTTTATTTTAAAATTTATTTTGCTTAAAATTTAATTTTAAATTGCAATATTTTAAAAGTATGAAACCTATTGCACTGCTGGTCAAATGCTTTTGGCTTTCTCATCTCTAACGTTTCATTTTCCTGCTCCTGCCTTTTTAACCGCCAGCCTCTCGTTTTCTGGCAGGCAGGCGTGTAAATTGTTTTTACTTAATCGTTGCGGACACAAACGCACATGTTGTTTTGGCCACATCAGCAACAGCAACAGCAACAGCGAGGCTTACTTGACTCTTTTGCCGATCTCCTTTGATATCTTCTTGGCTCTGTGGCGCGCTTTTGGTAATTGCACTTCGTCTGCTGCTTCTGTGTTACCAGCTTTGTTAGCAACATATATGGTCAAGAAAATAGTGATAAAAAACAGTAAAGCTATTTGATAACAAGAACTAAAAAACAATTCATTATGAAAATATAACTAACTGGAAGCATTAAATTAATGAGATTTCACAAATAAGTTTTTCAATGACTAAAGTATTTATTATCTACTTTCTGTTTTATTCTTGTGCCAATGACTGTAACTCCAGGGGCCAGTTTGTTTGTGGAAAATTGTTATTTGTTGCTGTTAGCTTGTCCTGTTGTTGTTTTTGTTACTGCTGGTGGATCGTTGGCCAACTTCAGTCGGTCAGACATGCAAATTTTTTGGTGTGTCTAATGTTAGTTGTTTGTTAGTTTTTTATGCAAATTTTCTTGTTTCACTTGACAAATTGTCTGTTCGACTTAATGATGGAACGTAGGTTGGCGGTAGTTGAGGTCCGAACGGGGGCAAAATGATTATGTGCACAGTAGTTTGGGTTTATGATTACGCTTGATTATATATGAGGTACAGGTTTGCTTTTTTTTTTTGAGAAAGTTTTTCAAAATGGTTTAAAGTAATTGCTGTGAAAGGTTGCAGTGCTTTTCCGGAAGAGATCCTTCCGTGGTTTACCTTGAAATGGTAAAATATAAGATTATATGATAGGAAGGCTTAGTTATAAGAACTAATTTTGTATTTCCAAAACCTTTTCATTAAACACAACGGATAAATTCGAAGCTACATTTTTTACTTAAAATATATATATATATTAAGCTCCGGGCTATTTTACCACTCAAAACACCTTTCCATCTTGTCTCGTGTTTAAATCCCATTTATCCACTCTGACACCTTGCAAAACAACCTTGGTGCCCCCTAATTTCCCTTGGCAGTGCGGCCAATCAATTATGGTCATAACAGCCAGTGAAAAGGGAAAATCATTAAAATCTTATCTTTTAACCAATAACGTGGCAGATGGATGGCTGGATGGATGGCCCCATGACAAAATGCCTGCATCGGCAACATCTATTATTAGTGGCCATATCAAAAAATGATTAGCAGAGCCGCCAAAGTCAAAGCCAAAGCGAATGGTGTTGGCTTGAATGGCAGAGGACTGAACATAACAAATTATGAAGATGGACGGGACGGGTTTTGGCCTGGTTGGCTGCACCACCGTACATACCACTGCATTCATGCACACACAGAAAGAAGACTGATTATAGAGTTTAAGGTGTAACCGGGGAGAGAAAACTACATAACACTAATTTCATTTTAAACGAACAGAAACGATGCCGTGCATATAATTTAAATAATTGCATAGGCGCTGTGAATAGCCGGGCTATTGATGATGTTATCATGTTATGTTCGCATACGATCCACACTTATACTTAGTTGCTGTCTTACAATCTTATCTACAATTTCCGCTGGCAGCTGCTTGCCGCTTGCTGTAGTCGACGCTCCTGGTTCCCCTTAATTATAATGTATCGCCTTAATGGGTTGCACTTAGCTGCTGGCAGTTGCTTTTTCCTTTTTCCTTCCTCCCCCCCTAAAAAAACATTGTCTTCTGATTATTGGTTACTACTAAAGCATGAGCGCCATTTTAATCCACTGATAAAACAATTTACTCCTCTCATCTGGTGAGAGTTCCTTGAGTTCCACTGACTTAAATTATGGTTGCAAATTTTTATGAAGCCATTTATATCACTCACAAGATGTGCCGCCTATAGCATGTATAGTGTACCATAATCGATGGGTTGCACCATGAGCTCAACTTCTTTTACTCCGCTTTCGGGGTACCTCCCTTTCAGTACTTGTTTTCAATTTGCGGCAGTCAAGAAGTAAGATAAAAAAAAAAATAAAAGAAATCGCCAATGAGGGTAGGCATTAAGTTATGCAATTACTGTTTACTTGGCCATACTAAGAAATTAAATAATTATAGGAATCAGTCGGTTAGTTTTGAGGGAAATTCATTTTCAGAGGCCATAAAATTAAGTTATTTTTGTGGGGCAATATGAATGTTATACGAATTAATCTCATATATATTTTAATAGTTTATGTTTAATATTATTTCATTAATTTACTGTTATAACTTCAATTTATCAACTGATCGAAATCTTTTACATTTTATATTACCGTTCAAAGTTCTTCAAAATGCTTAAATTAAACTAAATTAAAATGCAATTTGTTATATCTCGGCATCTAAATTAGATTTCCCTTTTAAACACCTTGGCCACGCTATCGCGTTTCATATAAATTAAACTTAAGTTATGAATAAAAATCATGTGTTTTGGTCCTCTTAAACCTTTTTTTCTTATGAATAATTTTTTAAGCAGTGTTTAAATATTTTTGCCATAACCCGACTCTACTGTATTATGGCAAGTGATTACTGAAGAGACCAAAAAAGGCGAACGGAAAAATAAGTTAAAAAGAAACGTGTGCAATTTTTATTTACCAACACTCGAAAGCGGCTAACACAAATTTAACACTGGCCGCCGCCAATGTAGCCATCATTGCGGCATGCAATATGCTCGACTAACGAGCAAAAACAACAGCAACGCTATGGCATGGAGTGGAGTGGAGTAACTGCAACATGGAAACTACCAAACTGCCTTCTCGTGGTAATCAATTTTAAAATTTATGACAAAATTTGCAGCTTTAAATTATGCCATTAAGCACGGCATGTAACTCATATCGTCAGGCTGCTTGCCTGCCTGTTAGCCCGACTGCCTGGTGGCGGCTTAAAACAAGAAAAAGCCGAAGGAGAAACATGTTAACTGCTTTCCTTCGCCCCAGTGTGAGTACACGGAGAGAATAGACATAGTAATATATTTTAAGACCTAAAAGTTTGAAATACGTTTTAAATTTGCCTAGAAGTATGCAGTAAATTAAATTGTGTTTTGAGAGCTTCCTTCAAGTTGTCCTTTAAGTTGATTCTCTCTAAACCTTTTTGAGACCTTAAAAGATGACTTAAATTCTAAGGTAATTCAATTTATAAATGATAATTCAAAGTATAAAAATACTTAATTTCTCCTTTCTATTTTTTCTCTCAGTGTAGTGGTGTGCCCATGCAATGGCGTTTGCATTATACGCTCGTATTTCGCCACATTCAACAACGAGCTACAGAATGACGGGTGGCCATAACTCATGCCCGATGCCCCCCAATACCTAGCCCCTCGCAAACCCAATCCTCCGAATGGCGTCCACCGTCTGAGACCTGGGCAGCAGTTGTTGCAATTACAACTGGACACCACATGCTACAGCTGCCTCCTGTGCCGCTGTGTTAGTGTGTGTGTGTTAA